TGCCGTCTCTTTCTTTTTAAAAAAAAAAAAAAATTAAGCTGTGAGTGTATAGCAGTGGTTTCCACTGTTTCTGTTACCAATTTTTTCTAATTATTCTTAGAAATCCTGTGTGTCTAAGCAGTAGCTTTCCGTGTATTTTGCTTTTTTCTGGGCAAGAACATTCCCTCAGCCATACAACCTTATCCTTTAACTCTGGGCAGCCTACTCCAGAAATATACCTTTAAAACAAACAAACAAAAAATCAGGTGATGGAGTGGGTAAAAGATTTGTTTAATAAGTTGATGGAGGGTCTCAGGGTCTCAGCATCGATCCCCTAATCCCTGCAGTGACCCAGCTGTATTCAATTCAGTCCAATGCCTGAGGTTGTAGGATTTAGAGGAAGAAAGTTAACTTGAGGCTAGAAAGCTTGACTTTTCTATGTACAGTTTTAGTCACCTTGGGTAATTCACTCTGACTTGGTTTTTCTTATCTGTGAAATGGGAATAGCAGCAGTTATATCTAGCTCATAGAATCCTTGTCAGACAGACATTGTAAATAGTAGCTGAACTTCTGGTTGTGTCTTTCTGAGATGGGTTTCAGAAGTGCGTGAGGGGACTTCAGGATCATCGAAAGGCTGTTGAGGCGCATGGCTGTCAAGCTGACAAAAAGGTTAAAGGGGTACTGATGAGAGTCCAGCACAGATTTGAAGATGTGAATGTGTCCTGAGATTGGCAGCCTTGAGTGGCAGGGAAGAAAGCGATGTCCCTCCAAAAGAAAACAAAGTAAGCTTCAGCCCTTGTAAGATCTGAATCTACCCCTGGAGGTGCAGAGTAGGATTGGGAGGTGAGGGGCTACTCCAGTCCGCAGATCGGGTGGTGAGTGAGAGCGACAGGGCGCCGGCACCGCGAAGAGAAGGAGCGCAGACACGGTAGGAGTGACGCAGGAGAGGGAGGCAGCACCTGAGGCTGGGAAGACGGGGGCCCAAAGGATCGAGTGCCTGCTGCCCCCCAGCCGCCGGGATACCTGGGTACACGCGGCAGGCAGGGGAGGGTCCTCGGGGATCTCACAGTCAAGGAGGAAGGAACAGGCATCTCACATGGGGGCCTGCAGGGATGAGAAGAGCTGAGGGTGGGAGTGTGGGGTGCAGGCTGGGTCTGGAGAGGGGCACAGTGGCTGATCTTTTGCGGGGTAGGTATCAGAGTCTGGACTTTATTCTGAGGGCAGAGAAAGTGAAAGTATTAGTTGCTCACTCATGTCCGACCCTTTGCAGCCCCCTGGGCCCTAGGCCGCCAGGCTCCTTTGTCCATGAAATTCTCCAGGCAAGGATATTGGAGTGGGTTGCCGTTCCCTTCTCCAGGGGATCTTCCTGACCCAGGTCTCCTGCATTGCTGGCAGATTCTTTACTGTCTGAGCCACCAGGGGAAGCACCTGAGGGCAGAGAGGGGCTGTCAAATGTCTTTATTGCCAAGAGTGACAAAATTTGTGCTTCATAAGGACCCTGTGTATACCAGAGAGGACGTCTTCCACACGGGCACACGAAGTGTGTGCAAAACCTGCTTCACCAGCGGTGATAGAGTCAGTCCACAAGAATGAACTAGCATTTCATGTATGCGCTTGGGTGAAACCTCAGAAACGTAAGGCTGGACTTTAAAAAGAAGCAGTTTACAAGGATGTACTCTTGGCGCTCCGTGTATTCCGCATCCCTGATAAGGGGACACTGCGCCATTTCATAGGAGGGACTTGAACCCCCCCAGACGTTGGTGTTCACGGGAGTCCTGGAACCAGACCCCTGTGGTTACAAGGACAATACCGCTTGTGTAAAGCTTGGAAACATTCGTGCGTTATGTGTTGTTATTTAGGGGCACACATCCATGTGGTGGAAATAAAAAGCACGCATGGGAACTGAACCTTCAGCAGGTGCGCGAGTCACATGTGTCAACTCAGATGTCTGGACACCACCGCAGAGTTTCTGATTCAGAAAGTCCAGGGCGAGGACTCAGCAACCTGTGTTTCTCAGAAGTTCCAGATGCTCCTGCTGCTGCTGGCGCAGGGACGCTGACCCACCCACTTGAGGATGGGGATTACTTTTTGGGAGGGAGCAGAACAGGACTGTGAGGGGTACGTGGCTTCAACCCTGTTGGCATTATTTCTTTAAAAAGGGGGATGCAGTGTTACTTGACAGAGCGGATAGCTGCTCACGGTCTACATTTTCACTTTTTCTGTGCTTGCAACGTTTCAGGAAAGAAGAGAGATCTTGTTTGCTGCGGGGAATGGATTGGAAAAGAGAAAGCAGTGGGAGAGCCCGTGGGAGAGTGTCGCAGAAGCCCAGGTAGGAGCTGCTTCGACTGGGGTGGGGGAGCGAGGGAAGGGGAGAGCGAGCAGATTGGGGAGCTTTCGGGGGGAGAAGCGACTGTCGATGGTGACTGTTATGCTTAGGGGAGGGTGACATTAAGTTCCCCGGTTGCGTGCCCCTCATAGTGGGGACCCCTGCATGGCAGGCATGCTGGCGATAGGAGGGGGAATTGAGGGGTGGACATCCCAGACCTTGAGGGGTCCCCAGCTGAGTGATGCTTTAAGAGGAGCCAGGTCACAGCAGAGGCTGGAAACCATCTGCATCTACGGGGCCGCCTGAGCCGTGTGCATGGATGAGACCACGTGGAAGGCTTGGAATGGAAGAGGGGCCTGCGACACCCCAAGGGATTCCATCCCCTGAGGCAGGCTGGCCAGCTGTTGCCCGCCACCCATTCTTGTGTGGCCCGTGAGCTAAGGATCCCTTTCACGTTTTTAAATGTTGGGGGAAAAAAAATCAAAGGAACAGTCTTGTGACTGAGGCTCGAATCTCAGTGTCTGTGAGCAGAGTTTTGCTGGAACAGAGCCACACTCCCCCACTGGTGCGGGAGGGCCCGGCTGCTGCTGGCGGCTGGATGGAGGGACTGCAACCGTCCCCCGGCCGCTCCACGCCCCACGCGTCCCAGTGCTGTGGTCCCTCCATTACCGCTCTGGCCCCTAAAGCTGAACTTTTACTGTCTGGCGCTTTATGGGAAAAAGTTCTTCTGGCCTCTGACCTCAGGTCTAAGTTGAGACAGTCTTGGTCGCTTTAAATGCCGCAGAGGAGAGACGGCAAGAGTTTTGCCTGTTTCTTCCAGGTCAGCTTCTAAGAATCAGGCGTTGGGGGAAGACGCTCCGGAGACTGTGAGGCTGGGTTGGTGAACGAACGGCGTCGTAGAGTCCACTGTTGCCTGTGGGTGGCAACCAGCGTCCACCCCGGGCTCCTGGGAGACGCCCAGAGGAAGGGCTCCGGTGAGAAAGATGCGGGCCCGGGATCTCGAGGACGGTGAGCAGACAACGCCCGGGCCGTCACTGGGCGCTGCTCGCAGGACGCGGGCCGTGGGTGAACACCCCACCTCGTCCCAGAGAGAAGGGGCTTGAGGGAGCCTGGAGCAGAGCCGGGGGTCCCCGAGCTCCTGGCGGTGATGGCAGAGATGATGGAAGCCCTGCGTTCTCTTCCGATCAGGGCAAAGTACGCTGACCCACGGAAGAGTCCTCCCTTCTCCCATCCACCCACTAACCCGGCCTGACCCTGCGTAGCTTTGGAGGGGAGACGCGGTCTGGCGTGTCTGGGGTGGTGTGGCTGAGACGAGTCCCTCACTGCTGACAGTCCGTGCTCAGCAGAAGCGCTGTCACTGCTGACCCTGCACCTGCAGCCTGGTCACTGGGAGATTACAGCGGGCACTTCTGAGACTGTGAGCACTGAAAAGAGCGGATTTGAGGGGGGAGGGTTGAGTTTGGTAGGTATACTTTTATCTTTTCATGTTGAGATTTTCTATATATATACACCTAAAAATTCATGCAACATCTTCATTCATTCTCTGTTGACAAACACTTACCATTCCTTTCATGTCTTGACTATCATGAATAATGATGCTATGGACAGAGGGTTGCATGTATCTTTTCACATTAGTAGGGTTGTGGTTTTTTTTTTGGATATGCACCCAGGAGTAAGATTGCTGGATCATGTGATGGTTCTAATTTTAGTGTTTTATTGTTTTGAGGAACCGTCACATGGTTTTCCGTAGCAGCAGCACCAGTTTACATTCCCACCAACAGTGTCAGAGCGTTTCTTTTTCTTTACATCCTCACCTGGCGCTTGGCAGTGCCCGTAGCAGGGCACGTACGGGCTGCCTAAGACATGTCGGAGGAGTGGGTTCCAGGAGGGAGTGATGGAGGTCAGGGGGCGCTGGGAGGCAGAGAAGGGCTGGTGGGGAGGCCTCGGCTCCCGGCCCGGCTGCACTGCCCCAGAGATCTGGAGCCTGGGAGACCCCTGGCCGGGAGGGCCCTGAGGAAGTGAGCGGGCTGCTCAGGCCATGGCCGTTCGTCTGTGTGCAGAGTCACAAGTCTTATTCAACAGACCTCCTCTTTGGTACTTAGAGGCAGAGCGCTTTCAAACCAATGTGCGGGGTCAGCTGGAGCCCTGACCCCTGTGGGTGGCAACCGGCGTCCACCCCAGGCTCCCGGAGGGCCCCGCGCCAGACATCCAGCATCCAGGCTCCTTCCCGCCCCCGCGGCCAGGCAGCAGCGCCTGCCTCCGTGCCGGGCCTCCTCCACCCAGCCCTCCCACCCCTCCCAGGGCACCCTTTCACACCTTTGCTGCTTAAAAGCATCAGGGGGCTTCTGAGCACCTCCAAGGGGCACCGCAGCCGCTCAGCATCCCACACAGCCCCCAGCCCAGCTTCTCCCCTGCCGTCTTCAGAGCCGCGGTTTGCTTTCCTGTTAGCATTGCTGGCTGCTCAGGGCTTGTCTTTACTCCGTGCAGGCGGCTGTCGGGGGGACAGAGACACTGCCGACAGGCCCAGGACTGCCTTCTGCTCAAACCTGCAGTAGAAAGTCGGGGCTCCGGGAGGAGCCGGCATCCGGCACGCAGCTGCTTCCCTCAAACCCCGAGGCTCACAGCGGCCCTGGGCCCCTCCGTCCTTCCTGAGACAGGCCTGGCTGTGACCGAGGGCCCAGCGGAGTGCAGCGCCATGGAGACGGGGCCCCCGGAGGGCAGGAAGGGGCCCACGCCCAGGGAGCTGCCCCCGGCCGTGGGGCTGCTGCTGTCCATGGCACTCATGAACGTCATCCTCTACCTCTGCCTCGACCGGCTCGTCACCACACCCCGGGGCCCCAGGGAGCACCCCGGCCGCTGCCCGCCTGGCCACTTCAGCATGGGGCAGGTGACCACCTGCTCCCCGTGGCTGTCCTGCGAGCAGCTGAGGACGGAAGTGAGGCCGCTGAAGCGTGTCGGGGAGGGAGCTGTGAAGACGGTGAGTCCGGCTTGCCATCGGGGGGGGGGGGGGGTGGTGGGTGGCCCTGGGGGAGGGCGGCTGGCATCACCCCAGAAACCTGGCCACGGGGAGGTCATCCCAGTAAAGGGTGGCCCACCCCCTTGTAGTGGGTTCCACAGTCAACAAATGCCGTTAGGAACCCCGTGTCACAGCATGAGAACGCTGTCATAAGTAGAAAAGCAAAATGGAAAGCTGTGCGAGATGCTGTTTCCATCTGCCAGATTACATATGGAAAAAATATAAAAATGATAGAAATCGTGCAATGCTGAAGGAGGATTTGGGGCAAGCTTTTCTGGTTCTTATTTTTCCATCTCTACGGTGCTGTTTTTTAAAGACTTTTTATTTTACCTTGTAGTGTAGACAATTAACAACGTTGTGATAGTTTCAGATGAGCTGCGAAGGGACTCAGCTGAACACATACATGTATCCATTCTCCCCCAAACTCCCCTCCTGTCCGGGCTGCCGCACACCCCTGAGCAGAGTTCCCCGTGCTGTACCGTAGGTCCTCGTTGGTTACCCATTTTATTTATTTATTACCTCTGTCTTTATTTTTATATTTTATTCATTTTATTTATGATTGGGGGCTGCGCTGGGTCTTCACTGCTGGGCATGGGCTTTCTCTCGTTCCGGCGAGTGGGGGCAGCTCTCGTTGGGGTGCATGGGCTTCTCCTTGTAGTGGTTTCTCTTGTTGCCCAGAGGTCTAGGCACGCAGGCTCCAGAGCGCAGGCTCGGCAGTTCTGGCGCACGAGCTTAGTTGCCCCGAGGCATGTGGAATCTGCCCAGACCAAGGATCAAACCCATGTCCCCTGCACTGGCAGATGGATTCTTTACCACTGATCCCCCAGGAGAGCTTGGGTTTTTTGTTTTGATGCTGTTAAGCGTCATGCGAGCAAGCTGTTGGTAAATTTTAGAGACTTAATCCCTCGTCGGTCACATCATTTGCAAATATTTTCTCCCAGTCTGTGGGTTGTCTTTTCCTTTTGTTTATTGTTTCCTTTGCCATTCAAAAGTTTTTGAGTTTAAGTAGGTCCCATTTGTTTATTTCTGTTTTATTTCCGTTATACTGGGAGACAGATGGAAAAAGTAATTGCTGTGATTCCTGTCAGCGTGCTATTATGTTGATTAAGAGAATTTTTTACTTCAAAAACAGAAACCAAAGGAGCCGGTTCAGTTCTCATTAGAAGCCTCCAGAGCCCCGTCTCATGGGCCGTGTTTCAGCAGCGGTTGTGCCCGTGTTAACTGAGATAGGATGACTCTGGAAGTCAGTTAAGGATGTGGCTTGTTCGTTAAAATGAAGGGCGACCAAAAGGCCATTACCCTGAAACTTTGTTTCTTTGGCTGAAACTTGCCCTTGGGGCAAGGCAGAGAGCTGTGGGCTTGTCACCCCGGGGGGTCAAGGTGGTAGTGGGTGTCTGGGGACAGGGGTCCAGTAGGAAGCCGGGGGGCGAGCTGAGGCCATGCCTGGCTGTCTGGGGACCAGAGGCAGGATGCGAGGAAGGAGTCAGGTGCGGGTCCTGGGGGGCCCCCAGCCTCGGGCACGCTGCCCCTGCATGCGGTGTGGGGGCGGGGGTGCCGGCCCGGGTGGGGAGCATGGGGACCGCAGCCCGGCTGGATCTGGTGAGGAATCGGGGGGTTCTGGCTGTCCCTTCCAAGCGGAGGCCGCGGGCCATCCCGTTAGATTGGCCATGGGGCGTAAGGGGCGGGGCGACGGAGGTGCCTGCGGGGGCAGCTGAGCGGCAGGGTCAGCGGCGCCGGGGAGGTCCTGTGTGCGCCTGAGGTGGCTAGCCGCTGGGTGTAAAATCTGGCCCTCGGGGTGGGGGGAGGCATAGATTTGGGTCGGTGTTGACAGCAGTGGGCGTGAAGATGTCCCCCGGGAGGGGGGCAGTGGAGAGAGGACCTGAAGCCAGGTAATTCCTCTCCTTCGAAGAGGGACCCTGCGCGCTCCCCACTGGTTTCTCTGTTGTTGGGCTCAGGCAGAACATTTTTGGCGTTGGTTTTTACCCTGAAGGAAGCCTTTGAGTGGCTTCAGTGATGGCGGGTTGTTGTTTGGGGACAGACGTGATTTTAGGGGACCTCAGCAGACTCCCACTAGACTCAGCAGCATGCAGTGTGGTTGGTTTGTTAAGGTGAAGGGCACTCAAAGGCTGTTACTGAGGTTTTGTTTCTGTGGCTGAAATTTGCCCTCATGGCACAAGTATTCTGAGTGCAGTGTCAGCTCCCCTGGGAGCCCCGTCTGTCCTTGGGACCCCAGGGCCTGTGCAGCGTCCGGCCCAGGGCGGCCTCCTGACCTTCCATCCACCTTGCTTCCCCGACACCTCCCTCGTGGGCATCCTCCTCTCTGACAGCATCCGTGTGCCCACCTCACAGACCTCGGGTAGTTTTCACAGCTGCTGCTTTTGTCCTTTAAAACTAAGGTACTTTCAGTTCAGTTCAGTCATGTCCGACTCTTTGGGACCCCGTGGACTGCAGCACACCAGGCCTCCCTGTCCTGTCCGCCAACTCCCAGAGTTTGCTCAAACTCATGTGCATCGAGTTGGTGATACCATCCAACCATCTCATCCTCTGTTGTCCCCTTCTCCTCCCGCCTTCAATCTTTCCCAGCATCAGGGTCTTTTCCAACGAGTCAGTTCTTTGCATCAGGTGGCCAAAGTATTGGAGTTTCAGCTTTAGCATCAGTCCTTCTAATGAATATTCAGTACTGATTTCCTTTAGGATGGACTGGTTGGATCTCCTTGCTGTTCATGGGACTTGCAAGAGTCTTCTCCCAACACCACAGTTCAAAAACATCAATTCTTCAGCACTCTGCTTTCTTGATGGTCCACATCCATACATGACTATGGGAAAAACCATGGCTTTGATTAGACAGACCTTTGTCAGCAAAGTAACGTCTCTGCTTTTTAATATGCTGTCTAGTTTGTCATAGCTTTTCTTCCAAGGAGCAAGCATCTTTTAATTTCATGGCTTCAGTCACCATCTGATTTTGGAGTGATTTTGGAGCTCAAGAAAATAAAGTCTCATTTTTCCATTGTTTCCCCATCTATTTGCCATGAAGTGATGGGACTGGATGCCATGATCTTAATTTTCTGAATGTTGAGTTTTAAGCCAACTTTTTCACTCTTCTTTTTCACTTTTATCGAGAGGCTCTTTAGTTCTTCGCTTTCTGCCATAAGGGTGGTGTCATCTGCATATCTGAGGTTATTGATATTTCTCCTGGCAATCCTGATTCCAACTTGTGCTTCATCCAGCCTCAGATTTTGCATGATGTACTCTGCATATAAGTTAAATAAGCAGAGTGACAGTATGCAGCATTTGATACACTGCTTTCCCAATTTGGAACCAGTTCATTGTTCCATGTCCAGTTCTAACAGTTGCTTCTTGACCTGCATACAGATTTCTCAGGAGGCAGGTAAGGTGGTCTGGTATTCCCATCTCTTAAAGAATTTTCCACAGTTTGTTGTGATCCACACAGTCAAAGGCTTTGCCGTAGTCAATAAAGCAGTAGTAGATGTTTATCTGGAACTTTCTTGCTTTATCTATGATCCCAGTTTCCCCCACAGTCAGTCTCTCCCATCAGGAAGCTTCCATAAGCCTCTTATCCTTCTTCATCAGAGGGCAGACAGACTGAAAACTGCAATCACAGAAAACTAACCAAACTGATCACATGGACCACAGCCTTCTCTAACTCAGTGAAGCTATGAGCCATGCCCTGTAGGGCCACCCAAGACAGACAGGTCATGGTAGAGACTTCTGACAAAACGTGGTCCACTGGAGAAAGGAATAGCAAACCACTTGAGTATTCTTGCCTTGAGAACCCTATGAACGGCGTGAAAAGGTCCCTTACAGGGGCAGAGCGTTTGGGTTGGCGTCCATCAGAAGAACCGATTCAGTTCTTTCTCTTCCTCTGTCGCCCTCTAGCTTTATGTAACCCCAGAAAGGACCGATTGTGATGTTTTTCACGTGGAAGGCTGAATGGAGCACAAGTGTGTGAAAAAGCAGCGTCACCCTTCAGCCGCCTCCTCTCTCCTCTGTGCTGATGCCTGGGTGGCCTCATCTGGCCCCATTCCTGCCTTTATCCCCTGGTGAACTCTGGACTTTTCTATCCCCTGCCTCCCCCAGTCTTGGATGTTGAAAGGCTTCTCACCCTACGTATGTCACAGACCATCCCCTCAGCCACCTCCCCTCTCCCCACCACCCAGCTACTCACACCACGGCCAGGAGGCCTCCTTTTTCTTTTAAGTTCAATTTTAATTTTATATTGGAATATTACTGATTTACAGTAGGTTGTTCAGATGTACAGCACAGTGAAATCTTACTCATCTGTCCTTCAGATTCTTTTCCCATATAGGTTATTACAGAATACTGAGCTCTGCGGTAGAGTCTTGTTGGTTATCCCTTTCATATTTAGTGGCACATGTGTGTTAGTCCCAGCATTTATCTCTTCCCCGCCCCGGGAGGCACTGCTGTCATTCCCCTTTCTCCACATCCACGCTCAGCCCCTCAGAGGTTCCAGTGTCTCTGCACGTGGGAGAGAGCTAGGATGTGGCCTTTCCGGGGCTCCTGCCTCGGCCCCTCCCTACCCAGGCTCTGTGCCTGGTGCCTGCCCGTCCGTCTCCATGTCCTCCAGCTGGGGCTCTCTGCCTCCGCCCCTGCCCACTTCGGCTGCTCACGCCGCAGCTGGAGTGCCGTGTGTGTAACCGCGCTCAGCCGTGTCCCTCCTCTGCTCTGCTCCTCCGTGCAGGGCACCTTGTCCTCTCCAGTCCTTTCAGCCACCGAGGGCCGCTCCCAGCCTCCACCCCCAGCCCCCGACCCCACGCTGCTCTGTCACTGCAGGCTGTGGACCTATCTCCAGGGGCCACGCCCTGCTGTCCTCGCTGCCTGGGATGTGGTCTGCAGAAGCTACTTGGCTCCTTCTCCACCTCCGTCAGCTTCCTGTTTGAGCATCACCCCAGCGAGAGCTTCCCCAAGCTAATAAAGTTGTAAACCCTCCCCCTTCCCTGCTTCATTATTCTCCAAAGCATATTTTACCTTCCAGTGCACTTTACACACTTCCTGTTTATTTTCTCTTATCGTCTGCCTCCTGCACTAGAATGTAAATTTCACATGGCCAGGGATTTACTTCAGTTTTTTTAATTGACATAAGTAACTTGTTAAATGAATGAAGACAGATTAGACTTTGTATTGCAAAGGACCATGTAAACTATTTTCTAAAATTTGTCTTTACATTTATAATAAGGATCACATGAATGATACATAAAGAGCTCCTAGAAATTAATAAGCATGAAGCAAACAATCCTAGAGACGATAGCATGAAGGATAGTGAACAGACTTTCCACAGACGACACGCAGAAATGCCCAGGGATGAATTAGTCGTCAGGAGAATACAGATGAAAACAGGGAAATGTTTTTCATCCAGTAGATTGTAACACTTAGTGAGGTTGGAGGAGATGGCACCCCCGCTCCAGGATTCTTGCCTAGAGAATCCTGTGGACAGAGAAGCCTGGCGGGCCGCTGTGCATAGGGTCGCACGGAGTTGGACACGACTGCAGCGACTTAGCAGCAGCAGCAGCAGTGTGGTGGAGGCTCGAACGCGAGATTCATATACGATTGGTGAAAGCGCATGTTGACCCAGGCTCTGAAGGGTCCGATGGTACATAGAGTTCATTCAGTGATCCGTCTACTTCCCTAACTTACGAAAACATCTGTGTGTGTGCACAGAGATGTGAATATAAGTCTCTTCACTGTAGCACTGTTGTTAATAGGAAGTAAGTGGGAAATAATTTAGATATACATCAACTCTTTAAAAATAGATCACATAAGGTCATATTAAATGTCTATGTAAAATGACAGAGCTGTGTAGAAAAATGAACCTAAGCCACCCTGACAGCATCTGTCCCACATTTAAGGAATTTTTATTATACTTCAGCTTAAAAAAAAAAACAAAGATCTTCTGTAAAATCTTACCTAACATACACCAGTATAGGTTGTACACTCATACTATGAAATGTTACGAAGCTTTAAAAAGAATGACCTGGATCTATATATATATATTATAGTCCCATTTTATATAACAAACTCAAATACTATTTTATAAATGGGTATTAATACGTGTAAAAGCATAGAAAAATGTCTGGAACATTACTAGTTAAACAGTTAACTAGTTTCCTTTGGGCTGGGGGTTAAATTCAGAGGAAGGAGTTCTACTCCCTCCATATTTGAACTTTTATCAAGAAGACTATTCATGATGATTTTTATAATATTTTTTAAAAAGGTAGATTGCTGAGAAATGATTCTTAACCCCTGACTTGCAATGTGTAATATTGGAGGTTTCAGATATTTGTGAGAGATCCCAAAGACTAATAATATTTGATAATAAACATCAGTAGTATTTAATCTTTTCATTTATCTGAGGCACAAAAGTGAATGTGATGTAAGCAAGGTTCGGGAGGAAGTCATGAGGCCTGTGGCTGGAGCTCTCCCACATTTCTTGTGGAATAAATGTGTAAAAAAACCATAGCAGCATCTCTTTAGTGACCCCCATTTTATATGAAAAAAAAGCTAGTGCCACTGAGGGGAAGGGGAGCCCAAGGGAGTGATGGATCTCAACAGAAACAAGATTTTTATACTGGAGTCAGAGATCAAATCCAGTGCTTGTGTAGCTCTGTGGAGAGAATAAAATGTGTTCCATATAAAAATTTAAGAAATGTATTCACAAAACATACAGTGATTCCAGCAGCGAGGGCAACTTGACTTCTTAATAGAAATTATCTATAATGAAATTTCTCAGAATTGGGTTTTGGAGAATGTCTTGAAAGGCAACTGTTTGAATAAATGATCAACTGTGGCAGTTTAGTGGGTTTTTCTGTTAATGAACCTTCCTTCTCAGGCCCACAGTAAATTTTCATAGTCCTCCAGCCTACCTCCTCCATTTGATGTATTTTTTAGTTCCTTAAAAAATGTTTTAAAATATAAGAGTAGTATATATTCTTTCTTGTTATACCAAAAGGTATAAGGCGGGGGCGGGGAGGGAAGCATGTAAAGAGAACAGAAAACATCCTTAGATTTCTGTGTAATTTTGTTTTATGCAGTTATAACAATAATATAAAAACACTGTGTGTCCCTTTCATCTGTAATATTGCTTGTATCTGTGAAAACCCCATCAGATAGCGTCTGCATTTGGATGCCCCCGTAACCTTCTCTGAGTGGCCCTGCATAACTGGACTGCTTCCCAATTTTTGATGGGTGGACAGGTTCCAGTTAGGCTTTTATAAATAATGCTAGATTTTTATTTCTAGAGCTTTTTGTATATTTGGGATTATTGCCTTAGATTTAAGTGCCAAAGTCTCTTGAGAACTACACCCCAAGTTGCTTCCATAACCTTTATTTTAACTACAAAGACATGGAAGCCAGAGGGACACAGCCCGGGGCAGCTGGGTCCTGGGCTGGAGCCTGTTTTCTCTTCTGCAACCCCTGCCTTCCCTTTGGGGACTCGGGCAGCAGGTCAGCGGTTCTTTCTTCTTTCCCCGTGATAGAAGTGTGAGCACACGGCTGTGCGGGGCAGCTGCTTGCTGGCCAGCGGTGGCAGGACAGCTGGCCCAGGGTGTGCGTCGTTTCAGCTCCTGCTGTTCCAGCCAAAGTCACGGAAAAGCATGACCGTGTTAAAGCGTGTTCCCTGCGTACAGCCATTCCTATTTGTGGTTTCCTCTGCACCTTTTAAAGCGAGTGGCAGTGCTGTTGTGTGCGATGGGCTGGCTGGACTCACTCCCTACTGAGGGTTCTTCAGCTCTCCACTCGCCCCTTCCCCAGCCTTCTCCCTCCCGGCCCCGCATTGCTCAGCCCTGCTTTCCAACTGGGGGTCTGTTTGCTACTCCCTGTCTTTGACCGTGCAGCCCCCTCTCTGGGGAGTGACCCCCACATCCGCTTTGCAGCCCCGTCATCCCACAGACCCGCTCCCGGGCCAGCTGCCCCACCACCTGCAGGCCAAGCCTTTGCCCAGCGTCTGGTCCAGCTCCCAAGCAAGTGTGCGGAACAGCCCGCGCTTGGCTCTGTGCGTCCTCTGCACCACATCCGGCACCTCAAGGCATCTGCTTCCTGGCTCACCAGCCGATGAGGGTTCCGGGTTGACCTTCTCTGTGGCTTTGTTCCAGGTGTTTCTGTCCGAGTGGAAGGAACGCAAGGTGGCCCTGTCGCGGCTCACCAGGCCGGAGGTGAGAGATGATTTCCTGCACGGGCTGCAGATGCTGCAGGCGCTGCAGAGCGAGCACGTGGTCACGCTGCTGGGCTACTGTGAGGATGACAACACCATCCTCACCGAGTACCACCCCTTGGGCTCCCTGGGCAACCTGGAGGCGACACTGAACCTCGCCAAGTACCGCAGCCTGAACACGTGGCAGCACCGGCTGCAGCTGGCCCTGGGCTACGTGGCCATCCTCGACTTCCTGCACCGCAGCCCCCTGGGCACGCTGGTCATGTGCGACTCCAACGACCTGCCCAAGACCCTGTCCCAGTACCTGCTGACCGCCAACTTCAGCATCGTGCTCAGCGACCTGGACGCCCTGCCGCTGGTGAACCGCAGCTCCGGGGCCCTGGTGAAGTGCGGCCACCGGGAGCTCCATGGGGACTTCGTGGCCCCAGAGCAGCTGTGGCCCTTCGGAGAGGACGTGCCCTTCCAGGACGACCTCATGCCCGCGTATGACGAGAAGAGTGACATCTGGAAGATTCCCGACGTCTCCAGTTTCCTTCTGGGGCACGTGGAGGGGAGCGACATGGTCCGATTCCACTTGTTTGACATTCACAAGGCATGTAAGAGCGAGGTGCCTGCAGAGAGACCCACCGCTCAGGCCATCCTGGACGCTTACCAGAAGGTTCTGAACCTACTCAGAGACACTGCGACGTCTCAGACTAGAGAGATGCTGTGAAAGCCAGGGTGGTCGCCGAGGGATGGAGTCGGGACAGCCGGAAGAGCTGCCTCGGTTTTGCCCTGATGGAAGGTGTTAGCGGCTGCCCCAGGTTCTTCCTCTCCTGACCGCCTGGCGGGAGTTGCTGAGCAAGACACATGGGCTTGCCGTGAGCCTGGCTGCAAGCGAAGGTGGAGAGAAGCAGTGAGTCGGACCACTATCTGAAGGAAGTAACAAAAATGGAGCTACAAAGAGGTGTCCCTAACAGCTGAATCTGTAGGCTTGTAAGAAATGTGCGTGGAGAGGTTTTTAAGCGGCAGTGTGGGGAAGAGACAAGTGGTGGTTCTTGCTTTGTCAGGTGAGTATCTGCAGTGTACTTCACGGTACCGAGGAGACGTCACTGTGTTTCAGGTGACTGCTCAGGGCCACGCCTGTGTCATCCACGTCCCAGCGAGCTAGCATGCATGCTCTCTGAAACCTTGAGTGGATAAGGAACATTGAAAATATCATGTATGATGGAAATCCCATCTGTGTTACTACTGCCTCGGATGGTGCTTGTGAAATTCTTCTCTACCTTCCAGCTGGATATTTATTCTGTGCTCAACATTAATTATTGTGAACATTCTACACCAATAGTGTCTGTCACTCACTCATTAATGGAAGGCGTTGACAGACTTTCCACTTGAGTTGCATGATTGAATCCTTCAGAAAGCTTTCCTTGGTCTCTGTCATCCTCATTTGCAGGGGAGGAAGGATTTGGTACATATTGATCACTACCAATGAGGGGGGGTTAAAGCTGGCATCGAGGGCAAAAAGGCTGTGCACAGACCTCGTGGTCACCAGAATTACAGAGCTGGCCCCGCCCCGCAGTCTCAGACTCAGTGTCTTGGTGGAGTCCTCTGCGTTTCTCACTGGTTCCCTGGTGATGCAGCCAGTGCTGCTGATCTGGGAACCACATTTCGAGAACCAGTGTCCTTACCTATCGAGGCAGTGGACAGGGAGTGTGGTCAGTATTATCCTTGTTCTACCTCCCATGGTGGTTGAATCCTGGGAGTCCTATGGTTGGTCAGAGAATACGCTTGCCCAGAGTATATTAACTGCTGCTCTTAGTTAAAAACATGCTGCCAGAACCCACGAGGATGGCTGTAATCAAAAGGATGGACAGTAACAAATATCGGCAAGGATGTAGAGAGTTGGAGCCTTCATACGTTGCTGGTAGGAATATAAAATGGCCCAGCTGCTTTGGGAAACAGTCTGACCATCCTCAAAAGGTCAAAAATAGAGTTACCATGACCCAGCGGTTCCAGTTCCCAGTATTTACCAATGAGAATTGAAAACATGTCCATAAAAGAACTTGGACACAAATATTCATAGCAGCATTATTCATAATAGACAAAAGATGAAGATGTCCATCTGCTGGTGAATAGATAAAAGAAAATGTCCCTCCATACAAAGTGGTAACATTCAGCCATGAAAGGAATGTAGCACTTTGTCATGCTCCAACATGGATGAAGAGGTGCTAAGTGAAAGAAGCCATCACAGAAGACCACATGCCATGTGATTCCATTTGTAGGAAATGTCCAGAATTGACAAACCCACAGAAACAGAAAATAGTGGTTTCAGGGAGGCTGGCAGGGGCTTGGACTTGAAGAATGGTGGGGTGCTTGCTAATGGATACAGGGTTTCTTCAGGGGAGATGAAAATTTCCAGAAATGGTGATGGTTGCACAGCTCTGAATATACTAAATAACACTGAATTGTATAAAAGGGGGCAATTTTATGGTTTGTGAATTATATCTCAATAAATCTGGGAAAAAAAAACACCTCTGCCACAAGACCATGTATCTCTTTTGACCCTTTTTACTTGAGGAAGTAGTTACCATGTGGAGCTGCTGATGTGATGTTACCCTTTTCATGTTGTAATTCTGGATTGAGGGTTTCCTTGATTTTGTGACTTTGCATTAGAACAAAATGTTCCGTTTCAAATGAATTTCTTTTTAAATACTGATGATAGAGCAAAAATGAACAGCATGGTATTTGGAAAGGACACAGTGCCAGGATCAGAAGACATGTGTAAGTAATAGTTCCAGCTCCACAAATGACTCACCTGTAGCCTCAGACAAACCGATTTCTAAGTGAGAGAGTCGGCGAGGTGTTTCCAGCTTCTGCTCCTCCTCTGAGTTCTCCATGACGCTTTATTGTGCCAGTGCCAGTGCCAGGCACCACGCTGGACCTGGCCCTTCAGTTTCTATCTTCAGTAGCAACAGAACTGCAAAATCGTAAGAGGGAAAGAAAGACCCACCTTTCTGCTGTGTAAAAGAGACTCACTTCCATTTTAAGACCACACATAGGCTCAAAGTAAAGGGATGGAAGAAGATATTCCATGCACATGGGAGCCAGAGGAGAGCAGGGGTAGCTATACTTCTATTAGACAAAACAGGCCGTAAGTCAGAAAGTGCCGTAAGACAGAATTCAGTATATGATGATAAAGGGGTCAACTCATCAAGAGGGTATAAAAATCATAAATCTGTATGTGCCCCAAAATGCATATAGATCTGATGGGAGAAACAGACAACAATACATTATATAGTTATTATAATAATACCCCACTTTAATACCCCACTTTCAACAATGGACAGATTATCCAGACAAAATCAAGAAGGAAACCTTGGATTTTTAACTATATCTTGGACTAAATGAATCTAACAGACATACATAGAAAATTCTACCAAACAGCAGCAGAATACACATTTTCCTCAAGCACACATGAAACTTTCTCCAGGACAGATTATGCTGTTAGGTCACAAAACAAATATTAACCATTTTGAGAAGATTGAAATAACATCAAGCATCTCATCCCATTTTCTTACCACAGTGGTTTGAAACTACAATAGGAATCAGTAACAGAAGGGTGAAAACAACAGAAACCAATGAAACAGAAAATAGGCAGACAATAAAGGAAATTCACGAATGTGTGGAAATTAAACAACACACACCTGAACAAACAGTGAGTCACAGAAGAAATCAAAAGGACAATTTTAAGTTCCTTGAGACAAAAATGAAAACACACTGTACCAAAACTTGGTTGTTCTTGTTCAGTCGTGCAGTCATGTCTGACTCTCTGTGACCCCATGAACGGCAGCACGCCAGGCTTCCCTGTCCTTCACTGTCACCCAGAGTTTGCTCAAGCTCGTGTCCATTGAGTCAGGATGCCATCCAGCCATATTATCCTCTGTTGCCCCCTTCTTCTCCCGCTTTCAGTCGTTCTGAGAATCAGGGTCTGTTCCAATGAGTCGGCTCTTTGCATCAGGTGGCCAAAGTCTTCGAGCTTCAGCATCAGTCCTTGCAAAGAATATTCTGGGTTGATCTCCTTTAGGATTGACTGGTTGGATCTCCTTGCTGCCCACGGGACTCTCAACAGTCTTCCCCAGCACCACGGTTCAAAGGCGTCAGTTCTTCGGCACTCCGCCTCCTTTATGGTCCAGCTCTCACATCCACACGTGACCACTGGAAGAACCACAGCTTTGACTAGATGGACGTTTTGTTGGCAAGGCGATGTCTCTGCTTTTTAATATGCTGTGTAGTTTTGTCATAGCTTTTCTTCCAAGGGACAAGCATCTTTTAATTTCATGGCTGCAGTCACCGTCCACAGTGATTTTGGAGCCCAAGAAAATAAAGTCTGTCACTTTTCCATTTTTTCCCCATCTGTTTGCCATGAAATGATGGGACCAGATGCCATGATTTTAGTTTTGAACACTGAGTTTTAAGCCAGCTTTTTCACTCTCCTATTTCACTTTCACCAAGAGGCTCTTTAGTTTCTCTTCACTTTCTGCCATTAGAGTGGTGTCATCTGCATATCTGAGGTTACTGATATTTCTCCTGGCAATCTTGATTCCAGCTTGTGATTCATCCAGCCTGGCATTTTGCATGATGTACTCTGCATATAAGTTAAACAAGCAGAATGACAATATACAGCCTTGATATACTCCTTTCCCAATTTTGAATCAGTTTGTTGTTCCATATCCAGTTTTAGCTGTTGCTTCTTGATCTGCATACAGGTTTCTCAGGAGGCAGGTAAAGTGGGTGTGGTATTCTCATCTCTTTTAAGAATTTTCCAGTTTGTTGTGATCCACACAGTCAAAGGTTTTAGCATAGTCAATGAAACAGAGGTAGATGTTTTTCTGGAATTTTCTTGCTTTTTCGATGATCCAGTGGATGTTGGCAATTTGATCTCTGGTTCCTCTGCCTTTTCTAAATCTAGCTTGTACATCTGGAAGTTCTCGGTTCATGTACTGTTGAAGCTGAGCTTGAAGGATTTTAAACTTTATCTTGCTAGTATGTGAGATCAGCACAATTGTGTGGTAGCTTGAATATTCTTTGGCATTGCCCTTCTGTGGGATTGGAATGAAAACTGACCTTTTCCAGTCCTGTGGCCCCTGCTGAGTTTTCCAAACTTGCTGACATATTGAGTGCAGCACTTTCACAGCATCGTCTTTTAGGATTTTAAATAGCTCAGCTGGAATTCTGTCACCTCCACTAGATGTGTTTGTAGTAATGCTTCCCAAGGCCCCCTTGACTTCACACTCCCAAGATGTCTGGCTTTAGGAGAGTGATTATATCATCATGGTTATCTGGGTCATTAAGACTTTTTTGGTATAGTTCTGTGTATTCTTGCCACCTCCTTTTAATCTCTGCTTCTGTTAGGTCTTTATCATTCCAGTCCCTTATCGTGCCCATCCTTGCATGTAATATTCCCTTGGTATCTCCTGTTTTCTTGAAGAGACCTCTAGTCTTCCCCATTCTATTATTTTCCTCTCTTTCTTTGCATTGTTCATTTAAGAAGGCCTTCTTATGTCTCCTTACTGTTCTCTGGCACTCTGCATTCAGTTGGCTGTATCTTTCCCTTTCTCCCTTTTGTGTCTATTCTTTCCTCAGCTATTTCTAAAGCCTCCTCAGACAACTGCTTTGCTTTCTTGAATTTCTTTTTCTTTGGGATGGTTTTGGTCACTGCTTCCTGTACAGTGTTAAGAACCTCAGTCTATAGTTCTTCAGACACTCTTGTCTACCAGATCCAATCCCTTGAATCTATTCATCACTTCCACTGTGTAATCATAAGGGATTTGATTTAGGTCATACCTGTACAGCTTAGTGGTTTTCCCTGTTTCCTTCAATTTTGCCTGTGTTTTGCAATAAGCTTGTGGTCTGAGCCACAGTCAGATCTGCTGTCTTGTTTATGCTGTCTGTATAGAGCTTCTTCATCTTCAGCTGCAAAAGAACATAATCTGATTTCAGTGTCTGGTGATGTCCATGTGTAAAGTCATCTCTTAGGTTGTTGGAAAAGGTTATGGACTATAACCAGCATGTTCTTTTAACAAAACTGTTTGCCATTGCCCTGCTTCATTTTGTCCTCCAAGGCCAAAGTTGCCTGTTACTTCAGGTATCTCTTGACTTCCTACTTGTGCATTCCAATCCACTATTGAGAGAGTCAATTTGTAGGCAGGTTGATGGGAAGTCTAGGGGTCCCCATAGAGAGAGGGGTCTGGAATTCTCAAGGAGGAAGAAAGGACAAACTTTTTTTTCCCCTCTACATTCCTTAGGATTATATAACAATAATGTATCCTGCTTGAGGACAATCTCTGGAAAAAACCTTCTGGCTAATTCTGTTATCTCAAATTGTAAATTATGGGAGTAGGTCTGGTGAGGTCTTTACAACCTCCAGACATTCTTTTGATTCACTGTAATAACTAATTTGAGTATACAATTCCATTGCTAACACGAGCAAGTGGGTACTCTTTCTACCCCCTTCTGATGTCTATGTCAGAAGCTTTCTCTATCTCCTTTATACTTTAATAAAACTTCATTACACAAAAGCTCTGAGCGATCCAGCCTCGTCTCTGGCCCCAGATTGAATTCCTCTCTGGAGGCCAAGAACCCTGGCCTCTTTGCGTGATTCAGCACCAACCTTTCACTCTGATGAAAAGGACATCTTTTTTTGGTATTAGTTCTAGAAGGTGTTGTAGGTCTTCATGCTGCTGCTGCTAAGTCAATTCAGTCGTTTCCAACTCTGTGCGACCCCGTAGACGGCAGCCCACCAGGCTCCCCCCATCCCTGGGATTCTCCAGGCAAGAACACTGGAGTGGGTTGCCATTTCCTTCTCCAATGCATGAAAGTGAAAAGTGAAAGTGAAGAAGCTGAGTCGTGTCCGACTCTTAGTGACCCCATGGACTGCAGCCCACCATGCTCCTTCGTCCATGGGATTTTCCAGGCAAGAGTACTGGAGTGGGGTGCCATTGCCTTCTCCGTGTAGGTCTTCATAGAATGGGTCAACTTAAGCTTTTTTGGCATCAGTGGTTGGGACATAGACTGTGATGATGAATGGTATGCCTTAGAAATGAATGGAGATCATTCTGTCATTTTTGAGACTGCACCCAAGTACTACATATTGGACTCTCTTGTTGACTATGAGGGCTACTCCATTTCTTCTAAGGGATTCTTGCCCACCTTAGTAGATATAAAGGTCATCTGAATTAAATTTGCCCATTCCTGTCCATTTTAGTTTATTGATTCCTAAGATGTTGATGTTCAATTTTGCCATCTCCTGCTTGACCACATCCAATTTACCTTGATTCATGGACCTAACATTCCAGCTTCCTGTGCATATTGTTTATAGCATCAGACTGAACTTTCACCACCAGACACATCCACAGCTGAGCACCATTCCCACTTTGGCCCAGCGACTTCATTCTTTCTTACAGTTATTGCCCTCCATTCCTCCCCAGCAGCATACTGGACACCTTCCAACCTGGGGGGCTCATCTTCCACTGTCATATTTGCCTTTTCATACTGTCCATAGGCTTCCCCGGGCAAGAATACAGGAGTGAACTACCATTCCCTTCTCTCGTGGACCACATTTTGTCAGAACTCCAGTATGACACATCCATCTTGGGGCCATGCACAGGATGGCTTATGGCTTTATTGAGTTATGCAAGCCCCTTTGCCTTGACAAGGCTGCAAGGTATGAAGAGGAAGCTGCAAGATGAGGGGGCTGTTTATTGTGCACAAAGCCTTAACAGAGAAGGTTTTTGCACTTAGGACAAACTCTTTGGTTCATGGAGTTCACCTTCTAATGCCATGGAAGCAGATAAACAAACACATGATGTCAGGTAGAGACAAGTAGAAAACAAGGCAGATAGAGCAGGATACAGAGACAAGGAATGTTACAGTTTTAGATAGGGCTGTTGGGGAAGGCCTCTTCGAAGAGCGTACCAAGTGAGCTGAGAACAGAATGAAGTCGGGGAAGGGCTGTGAGGTGTCTGGGTGAAGGACGTTCCAGGTAGAGGGACCAGCCATGCCCAGCCTTGAGACAGGAATTCCAGCTTTCCCGGGGCACGGAGGATTTTGACAGAGCTGAGAGAGCATCCTGGAAGAGGGAGCAGAGAAGGTACATCCACCCAGTGGGCACTGTGGCCCGTCTGGTTGTGTGGGAACAGAGAGGCTGTTGGACGGCAAGTTGGCAATGGTCTTGTCATGCCACTTGAGACACCAGCATCCACTGGCTCCCGGGATATTGAGCCATGGGGCAGGGCAAGGAGGAAAAAAGGCGTCACTCAACTTCCTGACCTTGCAGCATAGAGGCTTGTTTTCTCAGAGAAAAGCCGTGTGACTGACCTTCATGAGATGGTTCCTGACCATGACCTTCCTGAAAGTTATTCTCCACCCTAAAACAGCTTGCTCTTGTCCTTAAGAAGCCCTAAATGCAACTCTATCTTCAGGCTAATCTCCTGTCCCCGCACCCCCCCGAATTCGGCTTCCATCACATCGAGTCTCTTCCAGTTCCTGCACTGAGCCGTGCTTTCTGGGAGCCTTTGTACCTGCCTTTAGGAATGCCCTCCTCCCTTCCTGTGGCTCACATCCCTCAGGACTCCGTTTAAATGTCAGTTCTCCTGGGAGCCTTCGCAGACTAGCTTAGGTGCTTCCATCAAATGCTGCCTTAGTATCTTGTCCTTCTATGAACATAGCACTCATCACATTGTATTGGAGCCTTACAAAATTATCAAGTAATTCAATATACAGAGAAGTATAAAAAAATAACAGAGCACTCATAAGCCTATCACTGTACCTAAGCAATAACTGGCTTAAGTGGCTGAAGCCCACTTCGAAGCTGGCGCCCAGCAATGAGCCACACCCCCCCCCACACCATTCCCAACCTCAGCTTAAATACGGTGTTTAACTTACCATATGTATCTTCATACTTTTATTAGGCATGCACATAAACAACATACATTATTTTGCTTGGCTTTACACTTTACGTGTTATTGCAGAGAGATTTCTGCAGCTCGCATTTCCCCCTCAGACTTATTTTTGAGGTTCATCCGTGTGGATAGAGGTAGCTCTAGATCATTTCTACTGCTGTATACATACATTACACTACAATTTATCCATTTTCTTCCGTGGACATTAGATCGCTGGCAGGTTTTTGCAATTTCAAGCCACTCCGCCTCAAGCATGACCAGACCTGCCCCTCCTACGTGTGATAGTTATGGTAGTTTCTCCCAGCGCATAGCTGAGTGTAACCACGGGGTCATCATGCCTGCGCGCATGATGGACTGGAACCAGCCCTTGCAAGTGGGGGGCAGCACGCGGTGGCATTTACGTCGCAACTCTGCCTCCGGAGCAAACGCCTCCAAAACACCCAAACGGGAGATGGGACTCGGAACAGTGGGCAGAGGACATTAACGCCGGTTTTGTAGGGCGAAGAATTCAGCGGAATGTAGTTCACTGAGTGGGGAGGGACCGCGGAGCACCGGCCCGGATGGGGGCCTGCAGTGCCCTCACTTCCGGACGCGTCTCCCCGCCGATCCCGGGACAAATAGCCCAGTATGGCTGGAGGGCTCTGGGTTCGGAGAGCGTCCCCATCCCCGAGAAGGCCGGTCCCGCCTACGCCCCGCCCACATCCCTCACTGGCCCCGCCCTCACCCGCGCGGGCCCTGCCCCTCCACACTCGCCCCGCCCCCGCGGTGACTTGCGCGGCGACTCGGCGCGCAGCCCCGACCTCGCCCCGCCCCTGCCTCGCCTTCGCCCCGCCCACGCTCCGCCCTCGCCCCGCCCCCGCGGTGGCTCGCACGGCGACTCGGCCGCCCGCGGGGCGATGACGGGCGCGCGGCCGCGCGCGGTGGGGCGGCGCGAGCCTCGGGAGCGCGGCGGCGGCGAGAGCGGCGGGCGAGGCGGTGGAGCGGGTGCGGCGGGCACCATGGGCGGCGCAGGGAGCGCGGGCCAGGCCCTGGCCGCGCTGTTGCTGGCCGCGTCGGTGCTGAGCGCCGCGCTGCTGGCCCCCGGCGGCTCGCCGACGCCAGGTGAGTGCGTCCTCTGACCCAGCCCGCGGGGCGGTGCGGGGCCCGCCCGGGAGGCGCGGCGCCCGGAACTCGCGCGTCGTTTCCGCTGCGCCGCCCGTAGCGGGGCTGGGGCTCGCGCGCGGAGGCCGCCCCGCATCCCGCGGGCGCCCGCCGCTCAGCGGGAGGACGCAGGCGGGGGAGCGGGGTGCCCGGGGCCTCGTGGAGAGCCTTCCGCGGGGGTACCGGCGCCCCTCCGAACGCAAAGCCGATCGAGGTGGGGCCGGCGACCCCATCCGTCTGCCGCACGGAGGGGCTGCGGGGCACCGGCCGGAACCGCATCCCGGAGCGCGGCGGACTCACAGGCTTGGTCCACTGGGCTAGGTCACCGCGGCCGGGGCGCAGCGGCAGCGCGGGGGTAGGACACCGAGGAGCCTTCCCGGCCTGCTGGGCGGTTCCGTTTCCATGGTGACGGGCCGGGCGCAGGAGCCACGGTCTGCAGGGGAGTCCGGGGCCGGGTCTGCGGCCCGGGACCGGCCGGTGCTGCTGTCCGGCCGAGAGGACCGAGAAGCTGACCCTGGCGCCCGCGAGCGTTTCCCGGGCTTGCCGGGTCTCCGAGCTCGCCAGGGAAGTGGGGACGGAGGGGTGAGGCAAATTCCAGAGCGTTCCGCCGGACCCCATGGACGAGGACTCGGGGCCTCGAGGATCTCGGTCCAGGACCCTCCGCAGGGGGTGCTGGTCGGGGCTGGCGGGATCGGGGGTCACCTGCCTCTTCCCGCCCCCGCCAGCCCCTGTGCGTTCGAACACAGTGGGTTTGAGGCCGGCGGGTGTGGTTCAACCGCCCTCCAACCAGCAGTCAAGATGCTGCAGGGCGGAGACAGCATGGAATTTGAAGGAGCGATTTAGCGGATTTAGTTTGGTACGCGGTCTCCCCGCCCCGCCTCAATCTCGTCCACTCCCCCTCTTTAGGTCGTAACTGAGGAGCCGACCTCGCGGGTTACGTAATCTGCCCAGTCCCAGCTTGTGAGGGGCAGACTCTGCGCGGCGCTCTATTTGTTGTACTTCTGCACCCGTTGATAATGATGATCATCGCAGGGAAGCGGCGGTTCCTAAATGGCCCTCCCCGCAGCACCTTCCCAGAGCCCTGCTGCTGGGCTCCTAGTGCCGCCTGGAGCCCAGGTTGGGGCGGGCAGATTCCTGCCATAGGAATAAGGAACTCCACCTTTGTATGGATTGAGGACTCATTGGAAAAGGAAAAGAACAGTAGAATAAGTCTTTTAAAATATGCTCAGCAAAGACGACGCGTGAGCAGGGGGGAGAACCAGAAATTAAATATTTGGAAATGCAATAAAAGCCTGATATATGATCACTATTGAAAGGCGACTTTGTTTGCTTTACTTTCTCACCAAGACGTTGTGGACAGGAGAGGAGAAGGGAATTGTTCTTTCTGTATCGAGCTCCTTGAGGCTGCTCTGAGATTTCTAAGGTCAGCTCTATGGAAGTTGGCAGCTTTTTCTAGAAACTGAGTATCGGTTTCAATTTTGGTGTCATATTGGATGGCTTAGGAATTGTGTTTGTGATTCAGATGCAGACTTATTTTAAAAATTATTTTATTGAAATATAGTTGATTTACAGTGTGCTTATTTCTGCTCTATGGCAAAGTGATTCAGTTATATTTATATATACATCCTTTTCATTTTCTTTTCCTTTCTGATTTATCACAGGATATTGAATATGATTCCCTGTATTGTACAGTAGACCTTGTTGCTTTATGCATTCTGTATATAATAGTCTGTATCTGCTAATCCCACAAGCTCATTGCTTTTTAAAAAAATGTTTGAATAATGCAAAAAGGTACAAAGGTATCAGAATCCCCTGGCCTTACACTCACATTATCCTCAGATGTTGTCTTCAACCTTGGCTGCACATTAGCATTCCTTGCAAGCTGTTTTTGTTGCTGTTGTTTTGGGGAGGATAGCAAGTGCTGATGAGGTTGTGGAGAAGAGGGAACCGTCCCGCAGTGTTGGTGGGAATGTAAATTGGTACAGCCTCCATGGAAAACAGTATGGAGCTTCCTCAAAAGATTAAAAATTGATCCAGCATTTTACTCCTGGGTGTATAAGTGAAGAAAATGAAAACACTAATTCAAAAAGATACATGCACCCCAATGTTTATAGCAGAATTGTTTACAATAGCCAAGATGGAAGCAACCTAAGTGTCCATCAGCAGATGAATGAGTGAAGATGTGTGTGTATGTGTGTATGCACACACACACAATGGAATACTACTCAGTCATAAAAAAGAATGAAAAATTTGCCATTTGCAACAACATGGATGGACCTAGAGGGTATTATGCTTAGTGAAATAAGTTAGAGAAAGGCAAATACTATATAACTTATATGTGGAATCTAAAAATAAAATGATTGAATATAACAAAACAGAATAGACTCACAGATATGGAAAACAAACCAGTGGTTACCAGTGAGGAGAGGGAAGGGGGAGGGGCAAAAGTAGAGATGGAGGTGGGCAATTAAGAGATCAAACTGCTATGTCTAAAATAAGCTACAGGGATATATTGTATAGCATAAGGAATACAGCAAGTGTAGTAAGTTTAAATGGAATGTAGTCTATAAAAATTTTGAATCACTTTGTGATACAGCTGAAACTAATATATTTTAAGTCAGCTATCCTTCGCTTTTAAAAATACAACCATTAAATCATACTGGTTGGGCAGAGATTCTGATTTAATTGGTCTTGGTTGGGGCCAGGACGTTGAGGTTTTTTTTTTTTAAGCTTCTCAGGTAATTCTGATGTTCATTTAGCATTAACCCTCCATATAACCTTTTATAAAATAAGTAATTTTGATTATAATTAAGAGCTTTCAAAGTCTGAAATTCACATGGAATAATTAAGCATGAAACAAGAACCTTCTTCCACCCACCACTGAAGACTCATATTTCTATATGAGTAAAAACAACAGCCATTACAACTCCAAAGGGATAATGCTATGTAGAACAATTACAAAGGAAAATGCAAACAGCTAGTGACTGCAGATTTGCAAATGGGAGCCCTCAAACCTGAACAAAGGAAGTGAAGAAGAGAAATAGTTGAAAACATTATGACAAATATGACAAAGGGCTTAATATCACAGGGGCCAAGTGGTTAAGTAAACTTTCCAACAGTTCACAGGAACGGAAAACAGTGATGGTCAACATTTGGAAACATGTTCAAACTTGCTAATTGTTAATTCAAAGCAGAATAATAAATTATATTTTCTATACATCAGGTTAAAAAGCAAGGAAGAAACACTAAAGTGGCCCAGCTGCTAGGGAACAGTTCTGCTAAGTCCCGGGAGACTGGGGGCGCAGGTTGGGCGCCAGTCAGACTGGTGGGTCTCTCCAGGCCTCACCCACCTCATCCAGAAGGTGTGTAGTTACTTGTGGCACCTGGGAGCTGATAAACACTACACCTGCCTTTACAAATTGTCACAGCTCAATTGAGGGAGGACTTTGGCTAAACGTATCAAAATCTGTTAGAAAGGCTATTTTTGGTTAAGAATTTCACTCCTAGAAGTTCATTCTGAAGGAGCTATGTCAAAAGACAGTGTTGATTTTCAGATCTCTATAGTACCATTTTTGTGTAGGATATAGCATTTTTTTTTTAAGATTTTTTTTTTTAATGTGGACCATTTTTGAAGTCTTTATTGAATTTGTTACAATATTGCTTCTGTTTTATGTCTTGGTTTTTTGGCCACAAGAAATGTGGGATCTTAACCCCTCAACCAGGGATCAAACCCACACCCCCTGCATCGGAAAGTGAAATTTTAACCACTGGACTGCCAGGGAAGTCGCCAGCATCATTTCTTATAACTGGAAGGAATGGGGAGTGAAATGAAATTGTAAATAAGGTTAAACAAAAAAGAAGAAACAGTGTTAAAATAAAAAAAAGTTTAACCGAATCATTGTCCCCTGCGTTGGTTGGATGTGGTCCAGACCGTTACAATAATTTGTCGAGCTCCTAACTTATTTTGAGGTTCTGTGCCAAACATTTGCATATGTTACCAATTTTAGCCTCTCCAACAGTCCTCTGAAGCACACACTGCCGTAACCCCTAATTTATTGATGAGGATGCTGAGGTGTGGTGGAGTTCAAATTCAGGTTGCCTCAACTTGGAGTCCACATGCGTAACCCACCACGTTATACTCCTGGTCCCAAACACTGCTCCCACTGGCTGCTTTTGAGAGGGCCACAAAAGAACAGGCAAAGCTACTAGTAAAGCTTTTTTTAGCCTGGAGGAGAAAAAAGCTTCAGTAGGTTATAAAAGATGCATACTGTGTATTTTGTCTTCACAGGGAGCTAAATAAGGGTAAATTTGAATAAACTAAAGAATGAGAGATTGATGTTGGCTGTAGTGAAGAATTTTCCAAATTAACCAGATGAGATCCTGCGTAGTCCTGAATTAAGTATTTGCATTCGAAAATAAGAGAGGTTAGATTATTACCTTTCTAGTTGTGTTATCAAATAGTTTCCCTTAACCCTCCTACACAGTTGGTAGAAATGGAAATTGGTGCAGCTACTGGGGAGAACAGTATGCAGGTTCATTAAAAAATTAAAAATATGACCCAGCAACCCCACTCCTTTGCATATGCCCAGAGGAAACCATAATTCGAAAAGATGCATGCACCCCAATGTTTATTGCAGCACTATTCACAATAGCCAAGACATGGAAGCAACCTAAATGTCCATCAGGAGAGGTCTAGATAAAGAAGATGTGGCACAAATATACAATGGAGTATTCCTCAGCCATGAAGAAGAATGAAATAATGCCATTTGCAGCAACGTAGCTGCAACTAGATATTATCCTACTCAGTGAAGGAAGTCAGATAGAGAAAGATAAATATCATATGATATCACTATGTGATGTGAAGTTGCTCAGTCATGTCCAACTCTTTGCGACCCCATGAATCACAGCACGCCAGGCCTCCCTGTCCATCACCAACTCCTGGAGTCTACCCAAACCCATGCCCATCAAGTCTGTAATGCCATGCAGCCATCTCATCCTCTGTCGTCCCCTTCTCCTCCTGCCCCCAATCCCTCCCAATATCAGGGTCTTTTCCAGTGAGTCAACTCTTCGCATCAGGTGGCCAAAGAATTGGAGTTTCAGCTTCATCATCAGTCCTTCCAATGAACACCCAGGACTGATCTCCTTTAGGATGGACTGGTTGGATCTCCTTGCAGTCCAAGGGACTCTCAAGAGTCTTCTCCAATGCCATAGTTCAAAAGTATCAATTTTTCGGCACTCAGCTTTCTTCACAGTCCAACTCTCACATCCATACATGACCACTGGAAAAACCATAGCCTTGACTAGATGGACCTTTGTTGGCAAAGTAATGTCTCTGCTTCTTAATATGCTATCTAGGTTGGTCATAACTTTCCTTCCAAGGAACAATGGAATATTACTCAGCCATAAAGAAGAATGAAATAATGCTATTTGCAGCAACATATATGCAACTAGATATTATCCTATTAAGTGAAGGAAGTCAGACAAAGATGAATATCATATGATATCACTATATGTGCAATCTAAAATAAAAGAATGATACAAATGAACTTATTTACAAAACAGAAACAGACAAACTTCAGAAACAAACTTGCACATTACCAAAGGGGAAAGGTTGGGGGGGGGTATAAATTAGGAGTTTGGGATTAGCATTACAAACTATATATACATAGATATAGATATAATAGATAACAAAGTCCTGTATGGCACAGGCAACTCTACTCATTTGTCTGTAATAACCTATATGGGAAAAGAATCTGAAAAAGAATGGATATATGTATAATGAAATCATTTTTCTATATACCTGTTGTGCTATATACTAGCACAACATTGTAAATCAACTATATACACCAATATAAATGTTTAATTACAAATGTTTCTTTTTTAATATTTTCATTAATTTCTTTGGCTTTGCTGGGTCTTAGTTGCTGCATGCAGGATCTTTAGTTGCGACATATGAACTCAGTGGCAGCATATGGAATCTTGTTCCCTAACCAGGGGTCAGACCCAGGCCCCCTGCACTGGGGGTGTGGAATCATAGCCACTGGGCCACCAGGGAAATCCCATCCCTTTTTTCCTTTTGCCTGGAAACTAGAGGGTAATTTCTCTTTCATCTAACAGATATATGTGCCAATAACAGGTCACCTTGTTTTCCTAGCAAATGGGCAGAGTGAGGTGGAGTGTGTGCTTCGCCCTCATGGAACCCAAAGAGCATCTGGTGAAGTGATGAGCTCTAAGCCAGGGAGCTCTTCTGTGCTTCAGACTTACACTGTCTCCTTTCCCACATCACATGTGCCATGGGAACCAGTTGATCCTGAACCCCAGACCAAAGGGACCTCAGGCAGAGCTCGTCAGACTGTGAAGGGCGTGCAGATCCCCAAGGGATCCTGGCTGGGGTCCTGCAGGTCTCACGAGCTGCCCGTCCCGGCTCAGAGCCGAGTGACGTGGACCAGGAAAGCTGGGACGTGAGAATCACACATACGGAGTTCCAGTGATTTCACAGAAAAACTCTGGCTATGGGTAGCGATGTAGTCCTTATGAGTCCTAATTTCTTCATCTGTAGGGTGGAGGAAATTCCCAGCTCTCAAGGTTGTCATAGTATCAGAGAGAAGGTGCGTGGAAACTACCAAGCCAGTGCCCCTCACACCTGAGCAGTTGTTGAATGTAAGCTGTGATTGGTGTTGATTGGACCCTTGTTTGGAGGAGAGGCACACGTGTGGGGGACTGGGTGTGTGTGTGCGTCTGTGTGGATGGGGCGTGAGGGACAAGAGACCCCAGCATTGGAGAAGCATTCCTGGGAAGCCGCTGTTCACTCCAGTGCGACTTTCTGACACATCTTTCAAGTGCCTTATTTTTCTTTCTTTTCCATTTCTTACCAGACTTAGACAAAAAAAAGCCCGTAGAGCTGAAGATGGACCAGGCTTTGCTGCTCATCCATAATGAGCTGCCCAGGACAAACTTGACCGTCTACTGGAATTTCGATTGCTGTTACCATGTAGGTGCCATGTGTGTGCTCACAGTTGTGTTTCTTCTGAGGCTAGTCTGATGTGACCTTTGTGTGGTCGTGAAGCCAACAAACATGTTTGTTGTTGTTATTTTATAATTTTCATTTCTTTACTTATGCCTGTGCTGGGTTTTCATTGCTTTGCACAGGCTTTCTCTGGTTGCAGTGACTTCTCCTGTTTCAGAGCGCAGGCTCTCCATCTGCGGTGCAGTAGTTGCAGCTCCCAGGCTCTCAAGCACGGGATCGGTAGTTGTGGTGCACGGGCTCAATAGCTCCGTGACACATGGGATCTTTCCAGACCAGAGATTGAACCCATGTCCCCTGCATTGGCAGCCGGATTCTTTGCCGCTGAGCCACCGGGGAAGTCCCCACATGTTAGCTTTACTGGTGAGGAAGGCTAGATAAAGGCTCAGAGGAATGCCATCATGGAGAACGCCTGGCAGTGGGCCACATCTGTTCATCTTCTCTTTTCCCTGCCCATCTTTTTCAGACCAGTGAGATGAGCAAATTGATAGACCTGTTTTTTTGGGTTTTAGTTGTAATGTGGCAAGTGCTCTTTCACGCCACAGTAAGAGCATAAGCCAGGCCTGGGCCACTTGCCCATTTCTGCCACCTCTGAGAGCCTGTGCCCTTAGAAGCACTCTCCAGGGGCGTAGTGTGTGACGGGTTTTCAAGTTGGAGAGGAAAGATGCGCTAGGACTGGAGTCTCAGCAGCATGTGCAGAGTTGCTTTGCAGTTGGTTCAGTTTGACCCCTTATGAAGCCTGAACTAATAGTGTTTTATTTGACTTCTCTGCCTCCTGCATAACCCTCTTGCTGGACCAGAGAAGGCAGGGATGAGACTCGGGGCTTCTCCATGGAGGGGTGCTGAGGGAGGCCCACGCTGAGGCCCATCTGATGATAAGGGATTTTATATGAAGGTGTTACTCCTGTGCTGAACCTTACCGCTTTTGCAGGACACGGCTATTCTTCCATGTAAAATTCTTCCATGTAAGATGAAACAGTCTGCTTCCAAATTGAGAGCTCCAGCGTACCACCTTCAGAGGAGGCATTTTCATGGGTAGTGATCTGTTTAGTGTTGTTGTTTAGTTGCTGAGTCATGTCTGACTCTTTGTAACCCTGTGGACTATAGCCTGCCAGGCTCCTCTGTCCATGTGATTTCCCAGGCAAAAATACTAGAGTGGGTTGCCCTTTCCTTCTCTTGGGGATCTTCCCAACCCAGGGATCGAACCCACATCTCCTTCATTGCAAGTGGATTCTTTACCTCTGAGCCACCAGGGAATCCCCTGTTAGTGTATGGCAGATTCAAGTCAGTGTATGGCAAAATCAATACAATGTTGTAAAGTAAAGTAAATAAATTAAAAAGAATAAATAAAATAAGAAAATAAAAAGGCAAATTTTTAAAAGTCCGCAGTATGGGCATCAGCTGGAAGATGATAGGGCAGTATGTGACACCTCCTGTAAGGTGACATGAAACAGAACATCTGTGATGGTAAAAAGGTAGGTCAAGACCAGGAAAAGGTTTATCACACAAGAAGGTTTATGTATTTAACAAAACATTGGTCATGTCTGGTCAAAAGAGACTAAATAAACACAATAGGCAGAAATGATACTTTCTGCAGTTTCATATCGCTACACAACAAAAATACAATGGAAGAGAGAATACAAAGGTAAATATTTCATGGAAAATCTTTGGTCTGGCCAAAGCAATTCTTATGAAAATTTGTTTCTAAATGTTTCAAACAATAAAGATGATGTTAATACAGTTAATACAAGTCGCAGCTTCTGTTTAATGAGGGCTTGCTCTGTGTTATGCATATTACAGCTCATATAATCCTCACGGCAATCCAGGATTCTACAGGCGGTGATGCTGAGATTAAGGGCAGGAAAGGGACTTTCTCCTGGGTCCCCCAGCAGTCACGTGGCAATGTTGGGGTTCACACCCCTTGTTCTGACTTTAGAGTCTCTCCGCTTTCCAAATTCTGCTTTATGTTTATCAGGAAGAAAAGGGGAAATGCAAAGCTAGTGAGTAAGGATCTCAGGGTTTTGTAAATCAGTGTCACCATCCAAACAAGAAAAAAAGGAAGCAATAAAAACAGTAACTGTGGAAACTGCAAAGTGAGATAAAAATGGGAATAAGAATGAGCCACATGATTTTTTTAAAAAATAAAAGTCACACATACTCTGTAATGGTCTATATGGGAAAAGAGTCTTGTAAGAAAAAAAAGAGAAAGGATGTATATAACTGATTCACTTTGTATTACAGCAGAAACTTAACACAACAGTGTTAATCAACTATACTCTAATAAAAATTAAAAAAAAAATCACAATTGATAAATTACTGATACATTTAAAGAACAATGGAAATTAATAAAATTGGAATTTATATGTCAACAGAGATTAAAATAATTATGGTTCAATGAACAGTTAAAACCGATCAATTAAAAAAATCAATTCCTTTAAAAACTGTAATATGAAGAATTGATTCAAGAAGTTGAGGACATGCAATTTCCCTGGTGATCCAATGGTTAAAGACTCCGTGCTTCCAATGCAGGGGGCCTGGGTTTAATCCCTGGTCTGGGACATTCCACATGCTGTGTGGTGTGGCCAAAAAAAAAAGAAATTGAGGACATAAATAGATCAGCAACTGATTAAATAATCTGGAAAGTTATAGTGAATTTCTCCACATAAAAATAGATAATTTTTCCTTTATTTTCAAATAATAAGTAATTCTAAATCTATATAAACCCATCCCAAATATCACAACTATTAAAAAAATGATGGCTTGATATCTGATTCATTCTGCAGGGTGTTAATCTTAAAACCTATCAAAGATATGAGAAGAAATGCAGGTCAGTGTTTCTAATTAATGTGGATATAAAAGTCTTAAACGTGTATCAGGTAGAATAAGTTGGCATACTGAGAGATTTATGATGACTTGTATTTTATTTTCATCCTTGAGGGATCTATAAGAAGTCATATTTATGGACAATGATCAAATTTTAATGGGAAGATTATAGTCTAAATGGAGAGAGAGCCATCACACACTGATGTGATGATTAAACATAGGAAAAATGGCAGTACTTCCCAAATTAGTTTATACAGTCAACACAATTGCTGTGACTTCATCAATGGATATGTAATAGAAGCTGCATAAAGAGAATTCCAAATTATATGAAAGAGTAAGTGGGCAGGTGAATCAGAGGATGGCCCAAAAGTGAACAGATGGTCCAGAGACTTGCTCTACCCGATAAGGTGCCTCAGAGCACAGTGGTGCGTGTAGCCAAAAAGAAACAGGGACCAGTGGTCCAAACTTAAGTGTAAGAAGTAGAATCTAACCTACGTAATAGTTTAACATATTACAGCGAAAACCATGGGAAAGGCATTTAGAATTATGGATACCATCTATCAAATACCCCAAGTAGATTCAAGTAAAAAAAACCCTGCAAATTAAAAAAAAAAATACAGAATACATCTTTATGCTCATGAAGCAGTAGAAGAAGTAACACACCAGAGAAGTGTGAATGTATAAAGCTTTATAAACAACAGAATATAGCAAGATGAAAGCACTAGAGTAGGGAAGTGTTTGAGAGAGTTAGAAGCTTAATGTTAACAGTTTTTGAGGACAGATTTCTAAGATTATGTTCAAGGGAACTAGGTGTCTAATGTGGTTCACACCATAGGGAACATAAAAGAACCAAAGAAAATTGAATTATTTAATCTACTGATAGGGGCTTCCGTGGAGCTCAGTGGTAAAAGAATCTGCTTGACCATGTAGGAGATGTGGATTCAGTCTCTGGGTTGAGAAGATCCCTTGGAGAAGGAAACAGCAACCCACTCCAGTACTGTTGCCTGGGAAATCCCGTGGACAGAGGAGCCTGGTGGGCTACAGTCCATGGGGTCACAAAGAACCAGACACAGCTGAAGCAACTAAACAACAACAGCACATCTACTGATAATTAAAAATGTAATCTTAATGCTGTGGTATTATAAACTCCTAGTGCCTGAACAAAAGGAAGAAGGATGTGAAGTCCTGCTCAGGCTCTGAGAAATAAATCTGTTATAGTTTTTATTTTATGTGAATGTTGTTTGGCCACGTGTAACAAGAACCATTTAAATTATGATTTTTTTTTTTTTTAAGCCAGTAATCTCATTTTTGGAAATTTATCTCAGGGAAAGAATTTAAAAGAGTAAAAGCATCATATGTAGACTTTAAAAACAATATAATTTTTATAAATTATAAATATATTTATATTATCATATTTAAGTCATCATTAAATTATGTCTTTCAAAACTATAATTTATATAAATTATATACAAAAGAATAAAGAAAAGCTTTGAAAGCAGCCGAAGTATTCCTAACTATAGTATGTGATGAAATATGATGTATCAATTAATATAACCATTAAAAATATGCAAGTTGGGTAGAATCACATGTTTATTTGTTAAATTATAGGCAAAACCATAAAAGGCAATATTTAATGGATGCTCTATTTGTTAATGGTGTGAAGAATCGATCTGTTAATAAAGGTTTGTGTAATTCCATAGCAATACCTACTTACATGGACAAATTTGATCTAAATTATTGAAATGTAAGAGTTCTTGACAAGCATGAAGGAGAAGTTTTCTCAGGCCCCTCTGTTGGATGTCCAACTGCCGCAGACTGCTAGAACCCTAACCCTGACGTGTGCTTGAATCTCTAGTGCCTGCTCCGGGTTCTGGCCAGCGTCTCCCAGGGCAGGAAGGCCGGGGAGCCGGGCGTGGCAGCCGTGGCTGTGAGCACCCAGCACTGGTCCATCCTGCAGCTGAACGACACTGCGGAGGACACAGAAGTTTGTAGGTTCGTACCTGCTTTGCTGTGACCTACTGAAATCTGCATTTCTCTCTACTTCTTGTTTTCCTGTTTGGATTCTAGCTCCTCCTTCTTGCAGAACATCTTTCTGTGTCTTTCCTGGTCTCCACGCAGAAACGCCTCCCACACTGGCATTGCCAGTATCCAACTCCTCATTTCCTAACCTAACAGCCTTTCTTCATTTTACCTAACCTCTGTAGGCTGGAGTACAAATTTGGAGAATTTGGAAACTATTCTCTCTTGGTAAAGCACGTCCGTGACAGAGTCAGTGAAATTGCTTGTGACCTGGTCGTCAACAAGGAGCCAGTTGACAGTAACCTTCGTACGTACATGCTCTTGCTTGATTTTGAGAGTTTGCATTTTGAACCATTTCAGTTTTTGAGTATCGTTTGCAGCATATTGTGTAATTCAAATCCTGGATTACAGGTGGTTGTCTATCTCATCATGGCATATTTATTGTGTATTTATTGTGCCATTGGTATATACTAAGAAAATTATGTGATATATACAAATATTTTATATTTCCACATATTCTCATAGTTGTTATTGGTTTAATTTTGAAACATAAATAAGCCAAAAAAAGTTATTACAGTGGAAAGAAACTAGAAATTGGCTAGCAGTCTGGCAGTTGGCTGTCAAGTATCTTTCCTTGTTTTAGGATTTAGAATACAGTGTTTTCTGTATGTGCCTTTGACAGTTCAGACATCCTCTTGGGTTCTGGAGGAGTTGTTCAGTCTCTAATAACTCCTCTGGAGGAAACGAGTCATTCTGGGGCCCCAGTAGATAGTATCAGAAGTCCCTGGGGCTGTTCCAAACAGTAAGTACTGTTCACAGTGACGCTGTTGAAGACTGGTTGGTTGTGTCAGAAGAACGTCAGTAAGAGGCAGTGTGAAAGGGCCAACATGGGAAGATTCAGTCATTAAAAGAATAATGAAGTAATTGATGGAAACACACTGAACATAACAAAAAGCAACGAGTTCACTATGAGGCTATAAAGCCCAAGGCCCCCGTCCCCAAACATAAACAATATTTTGGTTGCCTTTGGGGGTTACAGGGACACCTGATGTTAACTGGTGCAATTAAAATAGTGGAAAAGCAGGATCATCTGTCATGCCTTCCCTGTTTTTGACTGTATTTTAAGATAACGAAGTAGTCCTAGGTGAAGAGGGTAAATTCTTTACAGAAGAATCCAGCTAATAATGTGGCAGAATATTTTGCAACACCCAATGAAGTCATTGATTTAGGCAAAAACCGTGAGTGGATGGAACCATCCGATGAAAGGGGGACTTCACATGGGAGGGGTCAGGCCTCCACCAGCTGAACATGGGCATCAGGCACACGTTGGGAAGCAGGAGGTGCTACTGATGGGACGCGTTGGTGAAGACGCCGCATCTGCGGAGCATCCCTGCTGGGAAGTGGGCCTTCTTGGCCAAGGCTGAACAGCTGACTTCCCATCTGCAGAACACTCGGAGGACCGAGGAACAAGATCAGTGACACCAGATGGAAGCACCCTGGCAGATCTAAGACCGAGAATGGGACGCCCTGATAGGAGACAGCCAGCCTCGTGTAAATCAAGTCCGTGACTGTGGACGAACGCACAAGACTTAGGAAACGTAACAACACATGAAAGGTGTGAGCCCTGCCTCGGTCCTGAGTTGAACACATGGACTACAAAACGTGTCTTCAAGACAACTGGAAAAATTTGAATATGGAGTCAGTGTTAGCCAGGGACTTACTAATTTTGTATCACATTGTGCCTATACAGCAAAAGGTCCATTTTTAAGAAACTTTCATTTTGAAATAGCTTTAGGCTTATGGAAACATTGCAAGGAAGCGGTCCCATATTCCCTTCGCCCGGCTTCCCCTAAGCCCCTGAAACGTACAATCACAGTACCGTGATCCCTCGTATAGTTTCTGAAACCAGGCACTTAACGCGCACCCAGTGCTGTTAGCTGAGCGTCGGACTTCTCAGGTTCTCCAGCTGCCTTTCTAGTGTCCTTTTCCTGTCCAGGCTCCCAGGGCACTCAGTGGTCAGGTCTCCCAGGCCTTCTCTAAGCCAGTCTCATCTCTTCTAATCAGGTTTTCTTGATCTTGCACCACCTTGACACTTGTGAAGAAGACTGGCCAGTTGTCTTCTTACTTGGTTTTCTTGCTGCTTTCCTGTGACCAGGGACAGGCTGTGTGTCTTCAGCAGAGTCCTGTGGAAGTGACTCTGTGTCCTCTTGGGGGTGGGGGGTCAGGTCAAGGGTTGCTGGATGGTATAGATGTACATCCCAAAGATGTAGGAATAAAATAACTGATGTCAGGGATTTGCCTAAAAGACTTCGGGCAAAAAAAAAAGGGGGAGAGAATGAAGATGAAATGAGTGGCAAAGTTTGAAATTCTAGAATCTAGGCTACAAGTGTATGTGGGTTTATTATACAATTCTCTACAGTTTCGAGTATGTTTGATATTTCTCATGATGAAAATTAGCACTTCAGTCATGAATCGTATTCTCAATTGTTAGTAAGAAATTTCACATAAGGGATATAGGCCTTCCCTTCATGTTTCCATTTTTATTTGTTTGCATCTTTTCTTTTTGTAACTTTTCCATTTATTTTATTGAAGTACAGTTGATTTACAATGTTGTGTTAATTTCTACTGTACAGCAAATGTGACTCAGTTGTACACACATATACATCCCTCTTCATATTCTGTTGGGATTTTTCATTCACAGATTAACTGCACTGACATGACAGCCTTGATGCTTGTGACCACACTTTTGGTGATGACGTGCTTCCTTTTATTTTTGCAGCTGTGGGTATTGCGTTCCTCGTCGGCATGGCACTAATCATCGTGGTGTCCATCCTGAGGTTCTTGCTGAGGTAAGTTGGGGCAGGCACACTGGAAAGTAGAATATAGGAAAAAAATGTGTTCATAAAGAGTAGTTTGGTCATTATTCCTGGATTAAATGAAAACTTACTGTCCACCATGCCATCCTAGGCATTAGGGATTCAGTGTTGAATAAGAGATGGCCTCTGATGTCAAGGAAATAATAACCTAGTTGGAATGGATCTTTACCTTCAATTCTCCCATGTGGCTGAAATGTAGAAGAAAATGCCTGAGCAATCACTGTTTCCTGGAGGACTCATATCGTGCTTCATGGCGTGTGGATGTGGCCTGGGATAGTTTTGGGAGATGCTGACACCCCGACTCTCTTCTTCCTCTCAGCTCTGAGCCCTGAGGCCATGTCTCTGGCCCCAGCTCCTGCATTCAGGACCTCCCACCTCAGGGCGGACTCTTCCTTGGTTAGGGTCAGCCAGCTCTGAGAGGAAATTCCTTCCCCTCTGCTGGTAAACTGCCATTCTGGTGAGTGGATTTGTGACCTAGAGAAGAACAAGAAAGTGAATTAGACTCAGGCCTAGCATAGCATCTTTCCAAGGGAAGGTCTTTCTCCTTAGAAGGAATAGGGTTGAATTTTTGCATGCTCAGCCAGTGAGAGTTTCAGGAAACACCACATGATTCTGTTGGTTAGCCGGATCCAACTGGAAGAAAGAACTTCCTAGAAGGAGTGTGCTTCCCTGGTGGAGAACCCTGGCTGTGCAGGGAGAGCTGCCTGCTGCCAACGGTTAGCCTCACTGCCTTTCAGGGACACCGTACCATCCTCGCAGAGGAGGTGCATCCCTTTGAATGTTGATGAGACGCAAATAACGTTCCAGTTTCTGAGAGTGTTTTCATTTGGTGTGGCTTTTTTTTTTTTTTTTTAATGAGCTGGGTCTTCGTTGCTGCTCATGGGCTTTCTCCAGTGGAGACAAATGGGGGCTAACTTCTAGTTGCGGCATGCAGGCTTCTCACTGCGGTGGCTTCTCTTGTTGCCGAGCACCGGCAGGGTGTGCAGGCTCAGTAGTTGTGGCCCACGGGCTTAGTTGTCCCACGGCATCTTCCTGGACCAGGGACCAAACCTGTGTCCCTTACAGTAGCAGGTGGATTCTTAACCACTGGACCACCAAGAAGTCCTCATTTGCTGCGTTTCATGTGAGTGTTATCTATTGCATCATGTTTAAAGTGGTAGGTGCCTGATACCAGGCTCCTGCAAAGAGAAGAATGTCCCCCTGCCCCGTAGTGGAACTGAAACTCCTTTTGCACATGATTGTGCCTTCACAGCCTGCGGGCAGATGCTTCTGCGGGCAAAGCAGAAGTTCCTTGTATCTCTCCCATGAGCTTCAAGCTGCCCATGGAAGCCTCGGGAAGTTCAGATGTGTGTGAACTAGAAAGGAATCTGAAAAAGTAGTCAGAGAAGAGTACGTTGTCTCTCTTCTCTTCATTTGGGGGAACAAGCACGTATAAGAAAATAAGTGCTTTTTCTTTTTCAACTTCAGTTTTTAAACATCTTGTTGTTGTTGTTCAGTGCCCAGTCGTGTCCAGCTCTTTGCAACCCATGGACTGCAGCACGCCAGGCTTCCCTGTCCTTCACCATCTCCCGGAATTTGCTCGAAATCATGGGCATTGAGTCGGTGATGCCATCCAACCATCTCATCCTCTGCCGCCCCCTTCTCCTCATGCCTTCAGTCTTTCCCAGCATCAGGGTCTTTTCCAATGAGTTGGCTGTTGGCATCAGGTGACCAAAGTATCAGAGCTTCAGCTTCAGTTCTTCCAATGAATATTCAGGGCTGATTTCCTTTAGGATTGACTGGGTTGATCTCCTTGCTGTCCAAGGGACTCTCAGAGTTCTTCTCCAGCATCTTAACTTCTCCTTTTTACCCTCAATTACATGGTTCTGTTTTAAAGGTTTTCATGTGACAGTGATGTTACTAGTGCTGAATACACAAAAAATGGGAGGGGAAAAAAGAAGAAATTTTAAATGTATGCATTGGATATATGGATCATATTTGGATACTGTTTTGAGCAATTAAATTGCAAAAAAGTTAGGAAAATTGAACTGGCTGGGTTTTTTTGGGGAGGGTGGATGGGGTGGGCCACACTGCTTGGCTTGCAGAATCTTGATCTTAGTTCACCCACCAAAGATCAAACCCATGCCTCTTCAGTGAAGGTTCAGAGTCCTAAATCACTGGACTGCCTATGTCCTACTTTAGATTCCACGTATCAGTGATAACCGTACTGGGCTTTCTCTTTCTGAGCTCACTTAGTATTATCTCTCGGTCCATTCATGTGGCTGCAATTGGCGTTATTTCATCCTTTTTTTTTCATGGCTGAATGGTATCCATTGTGTATATGTACCACAGTGAATTTATCCATTCCTCCATTGTTTGTTTCTTTGTTACTGAATTGTAAGAACTGTGTGTATTTTGGAAATCAAGCTCTTCCAGTCACGTCGTTTGCAAATTTGTTCTCCCAGGCTGTCGGTTGGGTTGTCTGTCACTTTGCTTGTGGCTTGCTTTGCTGCACAAAAGCTTTAAGAGTAATTGTTTTTGCTCTCATTCCTGTTGCCTTGAAAGAGTAACCTAAGAAAACATGGGTACAATTAATGTCAAAGAATGTTTTCTGTATATTTTCTTGTAGCAGTTCTATGGTGTCGTATCTTATATTTAAGTCTTTAAACCATTTTGACTTTATTTTTGTGTATGGCGCGAAGGTGCCTCTAGCTTCATTAATTTACATTCAGGGTGGACAAATAATAAAATCAGAATCGAGAGAAAGTCACCCATTCACCTTGACACTCTTGTTTTTTCTGGTTTTGTTTATTGGTATCTTTGAAGTTGAAATTACTGAAGTATAATTGATTCACAGTGTGGGTTAACCTTCGCTGTAGCAGAGTGCCTCAGTTGTACGTGTGTGTGTATACACATACACTCTTTATCACGTTCTTCCCCACTGTGGTCTCTCACGGGAGGTTGCCGCACAGTGGGTCCTGGTTGTTTCTCCGTCCTGTATACTGTACACCAGTTCGCCTCTGCACCCCTCCCTGGCCCCCCACCCTCCTCGGCCACCGCCGGCCTGTCCTCTGTCTGTGCGTCTGTTTCTGACTCAGAGGCCGGCCCCGCCTGGAAGCGGTGCCGGGCGCCGTTCGTCTTTCTCTGTGCGGCGCCTTCCCTTGCTGTGATCCCTCCAGGTCCCTCCCGCTCCCGCCCCGCAGCTGCCCTGGCCGCGGAGCCGCAGACGCCGCGGTCCGTCATGGTTGCCTCGGGCACCCGCTGCTGCTCTGACTTTAACCAGGACTCCAGCCGCGGGGACCAGGGGCGTCGTTTGCCCTCACGACGTTCTTGAGGGAAGGCCCCGTCCCTACCCCTTCCTCTCTGAGGCACTCATGCCGTCAGCGTCCTGCGCTTGAAAGGACTGCTGCTAGAAGCTTTGATTTCTACTTCCGTTTCATTGAAAACGGAAAATGTGTGATTCTTTGACTTTATAGAATGTGAGCTTTCACTTTCTTTCAGCATGATATTCTGAAAATTCTGCCCAAGAAAATAAATTAACCGGGCCTTTTATTTGTTGACAGTTTGGAAGACTTTCAGAATTGGATTTCTAAAGCAATCAATTCTCGGGAAACCGATCGCCTCATCAATTCTGTGAGTGATTAGAACGCGTCTTGTGCGCTCTGGGTGACTTCCTCGATTGGGAATTTACAGTCCCTTATTCAGTCATCTAGATTGCCTTATGTTGTGCACGGCCAGGTCGAGTGTGCTGCCTTCTTGGTCACCAGAAGGCCCCTCCCGCCCCCGTGAAGGGCGCCCCCTCCTCTTTCTTGGTGAGGCTGGAGCTCGGGCTCTGTGTTGATGCACTGCTGAATTGACCCCATTAAGTAGAATGTCAAGATTAAAACAAAAGGATGAGAGACATGAGTATTAAATCCGTACACGTGGTGGCCCGCCGTGGTGATTAAACGTCCTGTCTCGTGTTAGTCAGTTCCTATGGACACATCCAAGTCCACCTGCAGACACACCTGCGGGTGTTCTTGTCCCAGACATCCTTTGTGATTGTTTATCAGCCCGGCCACTGCAACCTCAGCAGAGGTGCAAAACCCAAGTCAAGTGAAAGCATAATCTCTAGGTGTGTCTTTACAAAAGCAAATGAAAGTGTTGTCCAGCCACAGTGATCCTCAGCTTTCACTCTGCTGATTTCTGCCCTAAAATTGGAAAAGTCTGGTTTACTTTTCCGTATCATGAACTGTTTGCATTTTTCTCCCCTTTTCCGGAAGGAGCTGGGGTCCCCGAGCAGGGCGAGTGACCCCCAACCAGAGGCCTGGCGTCGGTTGGCGGCCCCACTGCGCCTCCGCTGCGTGGACACGTTCCGAGGGTACGTGGGCTCCTGGTGACACGTGGCCTTGGGTGGCACATTCACACGCACACACACTTGCGGCAGAAGGTATTTCAGGCACCCTTTGCTCTCGAGGCTGGAGAAGGTCTCCTGCTGTAAAGCTAAATCAACAGCCTCTCCTGACTCGAGACTACCGTGAGAGCCAGGCGGACGGGTCACTCGGAGCAGCTGGTTGGGGGAGAGGCCGAGACCCACCTCGGGGGGGCCCGGGAGCTGCTGGGGGCAGTCACTCCCGCCTGCAAGGAGCTGCCCCGAGCACCCCTGTCCACTCAGCAGCTGCACAGACGGGCCAGTGCCCCAGCCTGGAAATGGAACGCGGGGCAGCCCCGTCCTCCTCCTCCACTCACAGACCAGCTCAAACGTCAGGCCCTTTTGATGGCAAATCCAGAGTCACACGGTCCAGAATGGCGGCCAGGACCGGACGCTGACAATAAGGCCTGAGACTGTGTGGCCGAGAAGAAACCTCTAGGTGTCAGGTCTGGTCTTCTGTTGCTTCCCACTGAGGCCTTTCAGAACCCTTTCAGGGTCCCCCGACCCCGCCTCCCCAGGGCTCTGTATGCCCCTCTCTCTGTGTCTGAAGCCAGGCAGTAGCGACTAATGATGCTAATAATAACCATTGCAACACGAGTCCTCCTGTGTGCCAGGCCCGGTTCCAACTTGGCTTCATCTTTTCATCTCTCAGCAGTCCTGTGAAGTATATGCTTCCTAAAACATCCCTGTTTCTCATGGAGCAATTGAGCCTCAGAGCTGAGTAAGCTGCCCGAGGTCACGCAGGGACCACGTGGGAGGTGCATGCAGTCGGCTGGGCTCCAGTGTGCCGTGCTTAAAGCTCAGTCGTGTCCGACTCTTTGTGACCCCAAGGACTATAGCTCCCGCTAGGCTCCTCTGTCCATGGGATTCTCCAGGCAAGAATACTGGAGTGGGTTGCCATTCCCTCCTCCAGGGCTTGAACCCAGGTGTCCCGCCTTGCAGGCAGATTCTTTACCATCTGAGCCCCCAGGGAAGCCCAAGAATACTGGAGTGGGCAGCCTATCCCTTCTCCAGGGGAACCTCCCTGACCCAGGAATCAAATCAGGGTCTCCTGCATTGCAAGCAGATGCTTTAATTTACCAGCTGAGCTACCAGGTGATTTCTGGGCTCCACCGTTTCCACAAATCACCCTGCTGACACACTCGTGTCTTTATTCCCCACATTCAGGGGAATTGGCATCAGATAGCAGCACAGGCAGAATCTGTCTGACTCCATTCCTGTCTCTCCTGGAGATGTTCCCGGGTGTTCAGGGGCTGACACTGATTCAGTGCTGAGATGTTTCAAGCACAGGTTCGGTGCGGTGATGGACCTAACTCTCTGTCATGGTCCCCGGGTCAGGGTGTCCCTCCCCCTCACAGAACTGATGGGAGGCTCTCCCGAGGTCCAGTGGATCCAAGAAAGAGGGAGCCAGGTCTTGACCTGAAAGACTCTCCCCCCCCACTACAGTTCCTTCACCTGAAACACTTAAGTAATTAGCACGGAACAGAGTGATCAGGAATGTTTTGCTCCATTTTCAAATTCCAGGGTGTAGTGGCACTTTTTCTTCAGACATCACGTCAGAAATGGCAGAGAGGACTTTTTGTGCGGGGTCCTCCCTGCGGTGATGAAAAGCGGGAGTCTCTCGCTCTTGAAGGGTCTGCTCGCATCAGGACGGCACTGTCCTGCAGCCAGGCATCCGGGGCACACGGCCCGGCCTTGAGCGCGTGTGTCTGTTACTTTGCAGGATGGCGCTCACCATCATGGTCTTCGTGAACTACGGAGGCGGGAAATACTGGTACTTCAAGCACTCAAGCTGGAACGGTGAGCCCTGCCCAGAGGTCGCCTGGCTGACTCGGGCCCCGCCAGAGCCGTGGGTGGAGGCTCCAGCGATGCGTCCCCTCGGATGGCACCTTAGACCGTTGCCTCAGCCTTCAGTTCCCGCCTCCCTTTTGCGTACCCTGGCTTCGCAGTGCTTCCCTGTCACCCGAGAGGTCTGCGGAGGTCCGTGCGCCGGCCTGTGGGCTCTGCGGAGGGTGTGAGGCCGTGGGTGTTCCACCGCGCCTTGTGCCACAGCCTCATGGGCGCTCCGCACGGAGACGCCTGGTCCTCCTGCGGATGCCGTGGATCCAGGGGTCTGAGTGATGCTGACTCGTGGCTGTGAATCTGCCTGGGGCCGTGGGTTTAGGATGAGTTTTGAGTAGCACTCCCTGAGATCGAAGACCGCCGGCATGCTTCTGTCCAGGCTTCCCGTGCCGGGGCTGCTCTCAGGAAGCGCCCCCGGCCAGCCCCAGCCCAGAGTCAGGGCAGCTCGGCACAGCTGCATGGGGTTTTCCTGAGGACGCGCCCAGGCAGTGAGAGATGGACGCCGTCCCGGGTCGGGGAGCGCCGACGCTCCGGGTCCCTTCCTCACTGGCACGCTTGTGTCCTTCTTCGGGGAGCGCCGACGCTCCGGGTCCCTTCCTCACTGTCACGCTTGTGTCCTTCTGCAGGGCTGACGGTGGCTGACCTTGTGTTCCCATGGTGAGTTGTAGGCCCACCACCCGCTCTTCGTGGCCCACCCGCCAGCTTTGGTTTTCCGCTGATGCTGGGCCTTCCTGACCCCGGCCCTGAGTTCCTGCGGCGGGCCTGTGCTGCCCTGGGTCTCTATGTGATGCGCTCCTCCCGAAAGCTGGGTTCCCGAACAACTCGGACACCTGGCCTAGCGCTTGTCTAAGCCACGTGCGCCTAAAAGATGGACTTCGGAGGGAATGCTTCGTTAGTGTGCGTATGATATGGGAGATCCTGGAATCTTGTGGAAAGCCATAAATTCTGAATATTCCACTAGTCCTGAAAATATGTGTGAAAATTTTATTTCCTAAAATTTTATTTCCTATACGCAGTATATCCGTATCAGGGAATTCTGATAAATTCTGATAATGTGTATAACAGTTAATGATAGTAGTGAGTTAAACTCTAAAATAATAGTGGAGTAAGCCTGGCTATCTCTGGCTGTTCCCTTGGTTGAAGGACCCTGACTTTCCATACAGCGCAGGTTTTGCCGACACTGTGAACAGCTTCCCTCCGTCATTTGAAGGAGTTTGTAGAACTGGCCATGGGTTTCTGTCTTTGGCACCTGGTGTTTCATTGCTGATATGAACTTAGGTTTATCTGGGCTGGTGAAGAGTTCCTTTATGTTAATTTTTTTTTAATTGAAGTGTAGTTGATGTTCAACATTATAAAAGTCTGTGCCATATATGTGTATATTATATGTATATATATGTGTGTATAGTACATGTGTATATATATATACAGACACACACGTATATACTATCAGGATTCACAATTTAAAAATATAGTTATGATAAAATACTGGTCACATTCCTTATGTTCTGCAGAATATCCTTGTAGCTTATTTTATACATAATAGTTTGTTTTTGGTGACTGAATGGGGGGATTGTCCATTGTTCCACAGGGTTTCCCTCTAAGACAGGATGAGAAGGGGCACAAACCTTTCAGACCGACACTGGGATTCTTCCTCCACCTCTAAGCCGACGTGGTTTCAAGAAATCATGTGTTGCTTCTCTCACATCTTAGGTTATAAAATACTGATGATGTAGAGGCGGAAAAGTTGGAAGTGGCCACCGTGTAAGAGCTGTTATTTTTCAGGTTTGTGTTTATTATGGGAGCTTCGATTTTCCTGTCAATGACTTCCATTCTGCAGCGGGGATGTTCAAAAATCAGACTACTGGGGAAGATCGCGTGGAGGAGTTTCCTGCTAATCTGCATAGGAATTTTCGTTGTGAACCCCAATTATTGCCTCGGTCCATGTAAGTATTTTTCCCCTGTTAAAATATATTCAGGTTGAAATAGGGAAAAGATGTGTTATACTTTGAAAGAAACGCAGTTCCTCCACCTTAAGTTTTTCTTGCAAAAAAGAACACTTACTCGAAAAGTACATCTAATGCTTGCATGACTTTGGGCATTGTTATTTATTTATTTGGCTGCACCCGAGGCATGCAGGGTCTTCGTTCCTCAACGGGGGATGGAAGCCGCGCCCCCCCTGCAGTGGAAGCGCAGAGTCTTAACCACTGGACAGCCAGGGAAGTCCCTATTATTATTATCTTGGAATTTGAGGCCTGAGAGGTGCCTCCAAGTCCAGGCAAACCCTTCTGCACAAAGGCAGGCCCTGGGGCGGGAGAGTGAGGCGCAGTGTCCGAGAGTAGGGGGGGCAGGGTGGGGCCAGCCCAGCCGCTGGTTCCCGTTGCCGCCTCCTGCCGCTTCGGTCTCACCCGCTCTCACGGCGAGGCACGCCCCTGCCGTCGTTGGAGAGGCGTGAGGGGCAGGACGGCGGGGGAAGGGTGTGAGCCCGTGCTGGGGCAGCGACCGAGCCGCGCAGGCAGAGGCGGCGGCCCGCAGAGGGCGCCCTCTCACTAGCCGGAGACAGGCTCACCCAGCAGCCGTCGGGCGAAGCCCTCAGGCCCGAGACGCCGAGGCTTCGGGCGACGGGCGGAGGTGGGGCCCCGCAGGGCACACACGGTGGGCCTCCTGGGGTCACCGTCGGGCAGCCCCACCGTCGCGTAGCCTGCGGGGCAGCAGAGCCCGGCCCGCGCCAGTCTGCCGGCTCCGCCAGGCTGGCAGTTGGCTGCTCACCCTCGACGGGAGAAGACGGGGAGGGGGCCCCCTGCGTCCCCACGCAGAGCGGGACACTCGGCTGCTCTGCGCCCAGCCTCCCTGCTGGGTGCGAGTGAGGCCCCTGACCCCCGGGTTCCCATCTCCGCAAGCTGCAAAATCAGACTTCCTCGGGCGCGGGAGAGGTCTGTGTGCCCCTCGAGAGAAGGTGGTGTCGTCGGGGTGAGGCGAGCGGCGCTGGCTGACGCCCCTGCCCGGTGCCCCGCAGTGTCCTGGGAGAAGGCGCGCATCCCCGGCGTGCTCCAGCGCCTGGGGGCCACCTACTTCGTGGTCGCCGTGTTGGAGCTGCTCTTCGCCAGGCCGGTGCCCGAGACCTGCGCCTCGGTGAGCAACCCCGTTTTATACAGGGGGGGGGTCCCCTGTAAGTGCCAGAGCCGCCTTTAGTTCTGAGCACCGAACCAAAGAACGAGACTCTAACTCTGTTACAGAGCATCTTTTTTCCCTCTTCAAGTAGTTACTTTTATTCAGTCTTTATATCCGTCTTTTTTGTGTGTGTGTGATCAAGAGCACATACCATGAGCGTTACCCTCTTAATAAATGATTCAGTTTCCGTTCATCAGTGCGTTTTTCAGCAGTAGCACCATCGTCTGGCGCATTAGCCCAGCCCCTCGGGGCATCCGCCAGTGTTTGAGGCTCCTTGTGGAAACCTCAGAACCTTGCAGCGTCTGCACAAAGGCAGAGATCCGACCTGGGAGGCGCCAGGTCTGTCCTGCGCTGCTCCCGTTTCCTCTTTGCAAGGCGGATGTGAGTGTCTCACCTCTTGCGTTACTGTTTTCTGTCTCATTATAAATTGCCAAGTTCAGTTTACTCAGATGACAGCTATTTTTTTTGGTGCCCCCCCCCCCAGTGGGCAGAGCTTTAGGTGGAAATGTTTAAATCTTTCCATGTAGCTCCTACTTCACAATAAGCTTATTAGCTGTATAAGGTGTATTTGTTCCCACTCCTTCCTATGTAACTAGCAAACTCATCTCTGAATCGCAGGTTCTCTTGGTTCTGCCTGTAAGGCTTCCTAGGTTGTGTATTGCTGGAGTGCGTTTTCCTGGCACTCCTTTACCCCGCTCCCCCCAGCGGCCCCCTGCCCACGGCCCCATGCCCTCTGCTGCAGGCTCTGAAGGCACGCTGGGGCTGCCGTGCTCTTCCGGATGTGACCTTGGTAGCCGAGGGGGACTTGAGGGTCTGCAAGGCTCATCCGGGCCCCCATGATGGAGCCAGGGGCTGTGGGAACCCCAGGAGCAGCTGGGCTGTGCCCCTTCTTCAGCCAGCAGAGCTCCCAAAGCTGAAATTGCATTTTCCTTTTTAAAATTCAGTTGTATTTCTTTTTAAAATAATAGCCTTATTGAGATATAATTGGCATACCATAAAACTCATACCCTTGAGGTGTAAAATTGAGGGACATTTTTACCAAATGTCCCAAACAGTCACAGAGCTGTGCAGTCATCACCACTGTCTAATTCTGGAATAGTTTGATTACCCCCTGAAAACACCCTGTCTCACTCCCAGCAACGCCCCAGCCCTAGGTCCCTGGCCCTAGACACCCCTAGTCTGCTGTCTGTCTGTAGATCTGCCTGTTCTGGACACGTCACAGACACGGAATTACATAGTATGTGGCTTCTCATGTCTGGCTTCTTTCATTTAGCAGAATATTTTTTGAGGTTTATCCGTGTTACGTCATGAGTACTTCAGTCCTTTTTACTCCTGAATAACATTCTGTTTTCTGAATGTAACATATTTTGTATTCATTCATCAGTTGATGGATAGTTGACCTGTTTTCAGTTTTTGGCTACTATGAATAATGATTCTGTGTACACGTTTCTGTATGAACATCTCTAAATCACTTGGATACAAGAGCAGAATTTTCCACTGACAACTTCTCAACTAGCATTTTACCGTGACATGTCATATGCTATGCTTGGTCACTCAGTTGTGTCCGACTCTTTGCGACCCCATGGACTGTAGCCCGCCAGGCTCCTCTGTCCGTGGTGTTCTCCAGGCAAGAATCCTGGAGTGGGTTGCTATGCTCTCCTCCAGGGGATCTTCCCGACCCAGGAATCGAACTGGGATGTCCTGCATTGCAGGCAGATTCTTTACCAGCTGAGCTACCAGGGAAGCCTGTGTCACAGAGGTGGCGTATCTGCGTTTGGAATAAACAAACATCTATTCTGTGTTACTGCTGTCGAGGCCAAGAGGGGCCTCACAGGAGCCTCCTGAGCGCACGTGCAGCCGCATGTCATCTCCGGTTCCGCTGGCGCTGAGTCCACATGTGTTCTTTACGTGTGCCCCCCTCCCCCAGGAGAGGAGCTGTTTTTCTCTGCTGGACATCATGGCCAGCTGGCCCCAGTGGCTCTTCGTGCTGATCCTGGAAGGCGTCTGGCTGGCCTTGACCTTCTTCTTACCGGTTCCCGGGTGCCCCACGTGAGGAGCCCTGCGGGAAACCCCGTTTGCACATCCCTTTCTGCCAAGTTGGAGCCTCCGGGTTCCAGCTGTCAGCCTGCCCATATGGGGACCTCTCTTCCTCTCTGTCCTCCTCGAAGACTCCCTGGTGTGGGGGCGGAGGGAGGAGAGGGGTGGAATGTGGGTCCAGAGGCCCGTCTCCGGCAGGTCTCCCAGGGTCAGCGGGAGGAGGGATGGACTTTGGGCCCCCGCCCCGTCTCACCCCTGGGGCGGCCAGGGAGTCAGGGGCTTTGCAGTGGGTGTGCCCGGCGCTCAGTCGTCGTCGGGAGGGTGGGAGTTGGCGGCGCTCTGGGGGTGTGGTGGGCGCACACATGGCCCGTGCGCAGCCCTCCCCCGAGGCCTGGCGGGTGAAGTACGTGTTTCCGCCTCCTCAGCGGTTACCTGGGGCCAGGTGGCATCGGAGACGGGGGCAGGTACCGGAACTGCACTGGCGGCGCTGCGGGCTATGTGGACCGCCTGCTCCTGGGCGAACAGCACCTCTACCAGCACCCGTCCTCCACTGTGAGTGGGCGCCGCCCCTGCCGGGCGGACCCTGGGGGTGAAGGGGGGCGGCCAGATCTCAGCTGCGACTGAGAGGTAGGTTAGGGTGGAGCTGAGCTGTGTTTGAAGCTGGCTGACCTTAGAGACCTCACTTGAACGTTGGTCGTGGGCGCTGTGGGTGGTCATGAGTTGGTCTTTGGCTTTTAAAGTGAGGCTGCCGGGTACCAGATGTGCAGGTGCTTTCGCGTGGGTCTCAGGTCCGGGGCGGGGTGGGCGTTTCCAACACAGGATGTTTGTCCGGCAGCGCTTTGGGATCAGCACGTGTGGGGCTGGAGGAAGTGGGAAGGGGCAGGGGGACCGTCACACCTGGGGCTGGCCCCTCAGAGGTGTTCTCAGTGGGGCGGGCGTGGGACCAGGCCCTTTGACATCCCTGGAGGGATGTGGATGGCTCAGCAAGGGGGTGACTCCCGAGAGCTGGCTCCCTTCAGGGACGAACCCAGGAGCAGCTGAGAGCTTTCGGCCATCACTACTTCAGGATGCTCTTGTCCCCAGAGGGGTGGGACAAGCCGGGGCGGGATAGCTGGGTGATACCCCCTGGCACCCATGACAATAACTGGCTCCAAATTCCTGCCCTTTCTCTACTAACCATTTATCTTATAATGAAATAATGCAAATATGTTTTTAAATGCTATTTGCCTTAAAAGACAAAGGAAGGAGTCATTGTCACAGTAGGCTTGATCCTAAAGAATAAACCTGAAAAGTAAAAGATTCCATAGTGTTTGAAGCTGTCAAGGGACGCGTTGTGTCAGGGGCACGGGTCCCAGCACCATCTCCCAGACCACCTGAGGTCAAGGTGGCGCACAGCACCGGGGCTCACATCTGTGTTTCCTTCCAGAGTGTCACACACCACAGAAGTATGCTGGCCACAAGTTGGCAGTGAATTTCTGCAGCGAAACCAAAAACATTGACTGCTGGGGTGTAATGAAGTTTGTATTTCGTCTGCGAGTTGTGTGTATGTGTTTTTTTCCATCAGTGAGAGTGAGTCCTGCCTTCTCGTCCTGTTCAGGTGCTTTATCACACCGAGGTGGCCTATGACCCGGAGGGCATCCTGGGGACCATCAACTCCATTGTGATGGCGTTTTTGGGAGTTCAGGTATTTGTTCATTTCATGAGAATGCGTGTTCCTAACAGTTTGTGACTATTGATTCATCACTCATCCACATGTCCATTTGACTAAAAGAAGTCATCGGAAGCACAGTCTTCTGTGCAGTTCAGGCCTAATAAATTCTGCTTCTGTTTGACAGATGGTTAAAACTACAGGGTGCCAAAAGTTAGCATGTTCATATAATTAGGTGTCATTCCGGTAGTCTGGGAAGTTATTACTCATGTGGCTCGTCCCGGCGGTGGGAACGGCAGCCCCAGGGGAGAGGTGTCCCCGCTGGGCAGGACTGTGTCTGGAAGGTCACCTATCACCTTTTGTGTGCACGTCACACAGTTTCAGATCATGCACACCCTGTGCCTGGGCCAGTCCCGGCGGCTCTCGGTTTCTCTCACAGGCAATCATGTTAAGATTCTGAGCAGCTCAGATTTTCCTTCCTGAAATTCTCCTGATTTGGTGTCAGAAACCATTATTTGAGAGGAGATGACTGGGAGGGGAAAGACCACATACTCCTTCCTGGGGGACCTTTGTGACCCTGAAACTATTTTGCATGTGGCTGCCGAGTCCTCCAGATGTGGCTGATCTGAAGGAGGAACTGGTTTTTTTATTTCATTTAAATTTACACTTGAATCATCACAGGTGGCCAGTGGCTCCCGTGTGGGACAGTGCGGGTCTGCAGCATAAGACATTTTGGTGGTTGAATAATTTCCTGGGTAGAGATGCCGCCTTTCCATCTGCAGCACTGTAGAGTTTACATTGGTGCTTTTATTCGTAAATGCATTTTATCCCCCCGTATGCTCTCCAGGTAAATCTATGCATGCCCTAACTCCGGTAAGGAGTGCTGACCGCCACCCGTGCCTGGACCTTGCACACCCACTGGGCCGTCCGCGGAGTGTTTCTGTACCCCGTGTGCTTCGATAGCAGTTATATAAGTTATATAATAGCACCTAAATAAGTTAATTCACATAAGGCTCCAAGAACAGGACGTTCATAAGTTTTAGCTCTTATAAATTATTGTTAACACTTTCTTCAGTGTTTTCAGAAAAATCCTAATTTGGGGGGTGGTTTATGCAAAGTGCAGACTTTTCTGTTTTAAAGTGTCCCTGCCTCTGGGTCCACACTGCCCCTGTCCCCCTCCCGTACCCCTGACAGACGGGGCCATCCAACAGCCCAGCCTGGTCCCTGGTTACATGGCGGGGGGGAGTGACTTTCCTTGGCTCCCATCGCCTGTGGGAGAAGGCTCCTGCTGCCTGCTCCCTCCTTCCCACCTCTGACCCCCTTGGCCTTTCTGAACTACCTGCAGCCCAGCAGGGCAGCCAAGTGCTTTCACCCGTGTGACATGCTCCGTGCATGCTGTTCCAGGCTGCCCAGCACCGTTCCTGCTTGGTGCTCCTGTCCTCAGTTCAGCAGTGCTTCCTCTACGCGTCCCCTCCCCTCCTCCCTCCCTCCCCAGTCGTCCCTGTCTCGGCCCCCACTAGCCAAGGGCAGGGGGACCATTCATTGCCTGGTAACCTCAGTGCCTACAGGCGAGTCTGTCTGGGTGAATATGAAATAAGAATCCCCCTAGCTGGTTTTCTTGGTCACGCTGCATTTCCTTCCCCAGGCAGGGAAGATACTCCTGTATTACAAGGACCAGACCAGAGGCATCCTGATCAGATTCGCTGCCTGGGGTTGTCTTCTTGTAAGTAACCCCCTCCCTCACTGAAGTTTCTTTGTGTTTCAAAGAAAGAAAACATATAGCCCTGGGGTCACAGCTGTCTTGTCGGAACATTCTTCACATCATCTTCTCGATGCCTAAATGCTTAGGTTGGTTTTCTTAGAAGTCTCTTTAAGGAAGTCAGTGAATCCGTGAGGAAATGGAGCAGAGGGGTGGGTTCTGGGGGGGGCCTTTGCCAGCAGGACCTGGCCCCCGATGACAGGTTGGCAGGGGCAGAAGAGAAGCCTGGCATTCCTCTCCCTTCTGACCCTGCGGTCGTGTTTCCTCTGAGGATTTACTCCAGCTGATCAGCTCATTTACCTTTGACTCGGGGCAGTGCTGAAAAGGCGCTTCGTGGAGAGTATTTCTAGCTGCGTGTCCTGTTTATCTATAATTATTATTTTTGTTCTGGCTGTGCTGGGCTCCCATTGCTGCGCTCAAGCGTCTCTCTAGGTGTGGCGGGGGGTGCTGCTCTGCTTGTGTTGCACGGGCTTCCCTTGTTGCAGAGCACGCGCTCTAGGGTGCGCGGGCTCAGTCACTCTGCAGCATGTGCTCTTCCCGGACCAGGGATTGAACCTGTGTCCCCTGCATTGCAAGGCAGATTCGTAACCACTGGACCACCTGGGGAGCCCATGCTGATACATCTTAAACATGTGTTTCTAGTTAAAAGAATAAAACGGAGGGCACACTTCTCAGCTTTCCCTAAGCAAGGAAGTCACTCCTGGTTTTCAGTTTGGAAGCACCGTTGTTTCTGGAGATGATAGAAAAAACTTTTAAAGCCTTTCTCCCCACCCTACCCTCGCCTCCAGGGGCTTGTTTCTGTGGCTCTGACGAAGGCATCTGAAAATGAAGGCTTTATTCCAGTAAACAAAAACCTCTGGTAGGTGCAGAAGCCCCGTTGCCGGCACACGGGGGGGGGGGGAGAGGGGGGCGGGGGGGCCGGGGGGTGGGTCCGCCGCGCGCTGGAACCCTGAGACGCCCGCTGTCTCCAGGTCCGTCTCCTACGTCACCACGCTGAGCTCCTTGGCCTTCCTCATCCTGCTGGCCCTGTATCCCGTGGTGGATGTCAAGGGGCTGTGGACCGGAGCCCCGTTCTTCTACCCGGGTGAGCGCCCCTGCCCCAGGCCTCGCGGAGGAGGGCACCCGGAGGACAGGCTGGACCCCGGGAGTCGGCGCTGAGCGTGTCCCGGGGGTCCCAGGCAGCCCCCCATTTTACTGTTTATTAGTTTGTGGGGTCGTAAATGCACCTGACTGGCCTCCTCAGGCAGGTCATTGGTTTCGGGCGCTTCAGAAAAGGGGCCAGGCCTTCTAATGGAACTCCCCCTGCACACGCACCCCACAGACAACGCGGGAGTGATAGACTTGGAGGTGCTGCTGGGGGCCGCTCGGGGCGGTTTGGGCGCGCTTTTGCCCGAGACGAGAGGCAGCAGACAGTTTCAGGGACTCGCTTCAGCCCTGAGTCCAGTGACCGTTACTCTCTCTGGCCCTCAAGTTTGCTGGGTGAAGAGAAGTTAATATTTATGATTTTCAGGTTTAGCATTCCAGAGTCACACTTAACAAAAGGAGTACTTTCTAATTTTTGGATATAATTTACACTCAAATCTCTTAACATACCCACCCCTTGTTTTTGAGGGCCATAGCCGATAGCAGAAGTGGGTGCTTTTTCTCTTTTTCCACTGAACCAAAGACAAATGTCCAGAGTTGGGTGGATGACCAGCTGTGTCTCCCCAGGGATGAACTCGATCCTGGTGTACGTGGGCCATGAGGTCTTCGCCAACTACTTCCCCTTCCAGTGGAAGCTGGGCGACCAGCAGTCCCACAAGGAGCACCTCGTGCAGAACGCGGTCGCCACCGCCCTGTGGGTGCTCATCGCCTACGTCCTCTATAAGAAGAAGGTGTTCTGGAAGATCTGAGGCCCCGGCCGAGATGTGTTTCTGGCAGAACGACCGGGCCCCGGGGATCACCGACAGGAGTCCTTGCTTATGAAACGGAAGGGCTGTGTGTTCCCCGGTTCAGGGGGCCATGCGGACGTGCTCAGGCTGGTTGACGGGGACACGGCTCGCCCACCTCTGCCTGTGTACGCGGAACTCAAACAGCCGAACTGTCATTGTCTTCTCTCCATCTGCCGTGTGAACGGATGCCTCTGGAACTTCATTCTAAGGAATGAAGGGGATGGCCAGGCCACTTTGCGTCTGTGTCGGATAAAGCCACCTCAGGTCTGCTCTCACTGACCGCGTTTCCTGCAGATTTGTCTTTCCACGCATGTCCACAGAGACCAAGACGCCACCATCGCTGCCGTGTCTGACTGAAGCTCACTGGGTGTCATGTACAGTAACATAGTCTACTATATTTTGGTTACATACAGTTTAATATTCCAAGAAAGTCCAAGTAATATCCCTTCAGCTTCATAAGGTATGGGTGGGCCCCAAAAAATGCCTTTCCCTCAGAAGCCATGTTCTGCATTTCCCCACTTGAAAAGTAAGTGAAACTGTGGATGTGTGATTCCCAGCCACCCTCACCAACAGTTACCTACTTAGGCACCTTCCCGTCTGTCTGCCCACCCGCCTCCCAGCCGTCCGTCCGTGTATCTGGAGGGGAGGGGTCCCCAGAGCCGCCATCCGTCTCTAGGAAGAGAGGAGCCCACGCGCTCTGCCATCCTCACCGGGCAGGTCCTCTCCAGCCCCGAGACCCAGTGGGGTGGGAGACGTCAGTGGCTTTCCTGAAGTCCTTAGGAGAGATCGTTTTGTTACTGAAAACGCTTCAAAATAAATGATAAGTTTAAAAAGCTCTCACTGGAGTGACTCCTTTCAGAATGACCCTCCGTAGCGGAGGCAGCTTGCCTGCTTGGAATCACCAAACCAAAGAATCGTTTGTGGGGCGTGAAGGCGGAGAACACAGCAGACCAGCCCTCCCGTGATGCGGTGTCCTGCGCCCAGGCCTTCTGCGGCAGAGGGGTCGCACTGCGAAGCTTCCTTGCGTGATGAGGTGGGCTCACCTCTGCCCGTCCCCTGGCGTCCGCTCTCGCCCTGTGTGGAGGACGTGTTTTCCAGCTACCGTCTCAGCCCCAACTCACATCCCAACTTGTACCTGCCCAAGGACGCCTCCACCTGCATGACCACCAGCATCTGGGCGCCCCCCACCCCGTCGTCTCCGGCGGAACTTTCCAGCTCGGCCTGTCCCAGCTCTGCACACAGCCGACCTCCGTCTCTCGGCTTCACCCGCCCTCCCTCTTGTCCGCCCCTTTCCTGCGTTCAGTCTTGCAGAGTCTTCTCAGTTCTGTCTCCGCCTCCTACCTGGAAGTCCTCGTTCTCGCGGTCACCGCCTGCCACCCTTGCCCAGACTCACGGAACCGTTTCTGACCTGGCCTCCCTCCCTGGGTCCCCCTGCAAAGTCACTGTCCACTGCTGCAGGCTGTGCTGCATCTTGCTGTTGGGGAGGCCCAGGCAGCATGGTGGAGCGGGCTGTGCTGGGAGGAGGCAGATGACTTGGCTGAAGGAAAGCGTGAGCAGTGTAGGTGGGAAACTGCCATTATGAAGTGTGCCCCGCTCCTTGTAAACCCAGGGCTGCCCCTCAATCCTCATTACCGAATCTGCTCCCCCAGTATCAGAACCAGGTTCTGGTTACCCTCTGGGGTGTAGCCAACTGTCAGCCCTGGGCGGTGGAAATTCAGAAACTGAGGCACTTAGATGACCTGTTTGCAGAGTTGATTTCCATTCTTTTTTCACCAGGCCTGATCCGTTAGTTCATAGAGCTGTGATTGCTTTAATTTTCCAACAAATAAAAGCCTTTCTGCAGTTGAGAGAAAAAGGATTATACTTCATAAAGCAGTGTTGCTGTGCCTAGTTGCTCAGTCGTGTCTGACTCTTTGCAACCCCATGGACTGTAGCCCGCCAGGCTCCTCTGTGCATGGGATTCTCCAGGCAAGAATACTGGAGTGGGTAGCCAAGCCCTCCTCCAGGGGATCTTCCCGACCCAGGGATCGAACCCGTCCCGCATTGGCAGGTGGATTGAGTCATGGGGGGAGCTCTCAGATCAAATCTCCTCATAAGAACTAATCCCCTGGAGCTGGAACAGCGTTGTGGGCAGGCAGAACCGTCCCTGTGGTGGGCAGAACCATCCCTGGCTGAGGCCAGATCACCTCCCTGGCTTCCTCCCGGCCCTCGGATCCACTTCCTGCTTCCAGCCCCACTTGCCACCTCCTCAGGGAGCCGGGCCTCTGTCCTCTGAAGGTGACTAGCTATCCTGTTCTGCTGTTTTCCTCTTCATTCTCTCCTGTTGACATCTGAGCTGTCACATTCGCCCCCTGCCTCTAGGGCGCCTTCTCTCATCTCTTTTTCTTGTCCCAAAGTAATATTGTTTTTCCTCTGGGTCCTCTAATATGTGACCGGTCAACCTCGCAGCGTTTATCGCTGTCTGCCCTGCATGACAGCCATCTGGGTACTGGACCGGCCTCCCGCGCTGGACCGTGAGCTCGCAGAGGGTGAGGCCTCGCCCATCTGCACGTTCTTCAAGTGCAGACGCAGTGCCCCATGCCCATGTGGAGCAGGCGCCAAATCATCATTCGTGGAAGCAAAGCAGCGGTGGTGGGTGTGTTTTTAATTTAAGTGCTGATAAAATTTAGCGTATACCTGCAGTGCACATGTATGTGCACAGGCGTGAGGGGCAGTCATCTCTGAGGAAGCCCCTCTCTGGCAGGGCACCTTTGTGGGTGGTCACAGCTGTGTCCCCCCGAATCTCAGCAGGTGTGGCTGAGCAGGGCCCCTACAGAGGCAGTGCACCCAACTGGGGAGAACGCCAGTTAGGGTGTCTTGAGCTTGAAAGAGCAGGAACTCCAGCTCCAGCTGGGTTAGCAGGAGAGCATCACCCGGAAGTAGTCCTGGGGCAAGCAGGCCCCAGTTCAACCTCGAGGGCCAGATGCCACCCATCACCATCAGGACGGCCGCACACACTCAGCCCCTTGGCGCGGGAGGGAGCAGGCGTCCCCTTGGTGCCCCGTAACATTATTGGCCGGAAAACCCTCCCCAGACTGTGCAGGACCAGCCATGACGGGGAGCTTGGCCTGGCTGGGCCCGGGTCGAGCGGGGACAGCTGGCATCTCCCTGGGGAGGGGTGGGGACACCCCCGGGCGGCGCTGGCTGCAGAAAACACTTGTCACGGGTCATTTTTGGAGGAAGTTGGGTGGAATCCTTGAGTAACGAAGCAAAACGTGCTGTTCTATAGTGGGGCTATCGTAAGCTAATATTGTGTCTTCATTTGTGCAGCTATATTCTTAATTCCTCTTTATAATGAAGTTGGTAAGTTGCTGCTCTTGTATTTTGCCTCCCTTCACTCTGGCCCATAAAAGGCCTCTTTCATGAACGCACAGTAATCGAGTTTGTGTCACCCAGTATCAGTTTAAATAAAAGTCAAAATACTAGCTTTTATTTTTCCTTTAATATTGTCTCAAATAAACAGGGGTGACAAACGGACTTTGAGAAACTTTCTCAACATTTCAAACTGCCTTTCAGAAGAGGTTTCCATCAATTGTAAAAATCCAGGGGTAGAGCTTTAAAAAAAATCCTAAGCAGTAGAGCCACAACCCTAGAACAATGCAGTTCAGGCTTTAAACATAACTTTTGTTTAGTTTGAAATTCGGCGGGAAAACGCACTGCCAGTGGTTGTCTTCAGCTGTGTGTAACCTGTTTTCATGGGTGAGGCGAGCCAACATTTTTCTCCTGATAATCAGTTTTTCTTGGGCATTACTTCCCAAACATTGTTTTTCTCCAGGCTAAATGCATTTCCAAATTCAAAGTTCATTAGATATGCTACATGTTTGCATCCTGTCATAAGATGCCTCTGACTCCATAACGCCTGATTTAATTGCGGATGTGCAGACATGCAGAAGCAGCCAGCCTCCCCCCGGCTCTCCTTGGCAGCATCCAGCCTGAGCACATCTGTCAGGACAGCTGGCTCCTTCCCGCGGGGCCGAGCACATGGCTTCCCACAGTGTCTGTTACCGTCTCAGGGCCACTGGGGTTCTGTCCTGATCTCCGGGACTTTCTCTACAGGGGTCAGTTCTTTTTCTGTTTTTCCCACCTTTCATGGCTGTTCATTGTTGCGCTTTGTCAGTGGGCACGCCTTTCCACTTTGATACTAAGAAATTTTCTTCTGATTAAACTCCATATGTTGTTTGGCTCGTTAAGTGGTGTGTGCATGCCAAGTCCCTTCAGTGCTGTCTGACTCTGCGACCCCGTGGACTGTAGCCCGCCAGGCTCCTCTGTCCATGGGATTCTCCAGGCAAGAATGCTGGAGTGGGTTGCCATTCCCTCCTCCAGGGGATCTCACCGACCCAGGGATCGAAGCTGCCCACGTCTCTCATGTCTTTCTGCCTCGGCAGACAGGTTCTTTACCACTAGCGCCACCTGCGAAGCCCTGTAAAGTGGCACCAAATCCTGCCCGCCTAGGAGACGGCTCACATCAGTTTAACAAAACCCCAGGCACCACTGGATTTAAAAAAAAAAAAAAAAGGGATGATTGGCCCCTTTTTATCTGGTGCCTACACACGTGGGTGTTAGAAAGTCTTGTTTTGACGTGTGCTGCCCTCAAACACTGATCTGAGGAAGGGATTGTGAATCCGAAAAGGGTCAAGGGTGCTTACTGTGAAAGTTGCTAGGGGCAATACACACGATGGTAGAAACAGGATGATCTTTTAAAAAACCAATTATTTGGTTTTGTTTCGGCGGTGCTGGGCCTTCACTGCCTCCGTTTTCTTTTCTGCTGGGCTTTTCTCTGGCTGCAGAGCGGGGTCTGCTCTTGGCTGCTGCTTGTGGTGGCTCCTCTTGTTGCGACTCCCGGGCCCTGGCGCACAGACTCAGTGGTGATGGCACGCGGGCTTAGTTGCTCCGTGGGGATTGCTGGGTCATACGGTAGCTCT